ATCAAAAACCTTGAAATTGCCATATGGACGTGGTTTTATGCCTCATGGTCTGATTTCAATCCAAATTAACAACCGATCATCTCTAGATATCAATTTTTGTTAATTTGAGATAAATTTTTCTTTACCCTATTGTTAACTCTTTTCTTAACATACCTATATTAATTTCTTATCTCATTTACTTTGATTTGGCTTATTTATGCTTCTATATGGTAAATAGATGTCTCTTCTACAAAAAAACAGCATTAAGATTAAATCTTTTACTACCTTTTTATCTTTTATTCTTATTTTTCTAGTACATCTTTCTACTAAGTTCTTCTATAATAACATCAATATTTTTATTTTTTACTATAAAATTTTGCTATTATACAACAACGTATAATATATGGCTAACTTGTTAGCCAAGTTTCTAACCTATCAATAAATTATAAATATGTAAGTCAAATATGTATCTATAAAGCTTCTAAAAAGCTTTGCCATAAGATAATATCAAATCTACCTACTTTTATCTTCTATCTAATACTTCTTCTTTAGATAAATATATATTTTTGTGACATCATCATTTTGTCAAAAAAGAAAGTATTTGATAGTAAGATCCTTTGTAAGACCATTCATTGTATATATGAGTTATAAGTGTAGTGTATATTTTGTAAAGTTTAATTATTTTGTTTTTTGGCTAGCAAAGTTTGACATCTTAGTACTAGATTTTTATAGTTATATTTCATGGATTTTATAGATTGTAATAGTATTAAATTAAAAATTATAATGTATATATTGTTCAAATCAACTTGTGTATCATAAGTGTATAATTAAAAAAACTTAAAAGTATCACATATAATTAGAAAATAAATTTTCTATTTAATAGTATAGCTCTAAATGTAGGTTGTAAATGTAGTGACTAATGTATGTAAAATATTAATTATTTTTTACTCTAAAAAATATAAAAAATAATATATTATTATACTTTTATATATTCTTACAAAATTATATAGCATTATATTTAATACCTTTTAAATGGCCATGTAAAAGTTTTAGACAAAGATTGAGCAAAAAAAGGATGTATTTTATATTAGCAAAATATATATTGAAGTTAAAATTCATTCATACAATATCAGACACATGTTTGTCTTTCTAGTGAAGAACTCAACAATAGCCACAAGGGGTGGTTATGTTGTGAAGTGAGTGGCAAAGATTATCTATCCATCTATTGAAATAACAATATATTAGAAGAACTTTATATACTATGTATCTTGCTACAACACATGCTTCCATATCCACCAATAATTCTAGTTATTGATGAGCCTTTGTGCATGATTTGTAATATAAGTCTTGCAATAATTTATTTGCGGTCTACTTTGAAAGCTTCTTCACATTGTATATTGTTTGTAGGATTACATCATATGACCTTTTACTTACAATGTGTAAAACTCTAATGTTCATGTTGAGATGTTGTATGTATTGTAAGCCATTTTTTAATAAATTGATTTAGACACTCTTTTAATTCTTCTATGACTAAAGAGTAGAAATAAAAAAGAAATTATTGAAAAATAAGTCTATAAGATTTAAATATTGATGATAAATTAAATAAATTAAATCAAATTTTAATTATTTAAAATCTTAATTTTTTAAATAAGATTTAAATAAAATAAATTCAAATAAACATAATAATATTATACATGTCTACTTTCAATGAAATAATTTAAAATCTATACTAAAAATGATAATTCAAATAATAAATATGTATATATTTAAATTTATTTTATTTATTTAATATTTAAAATAAAATAATAAATCTATTTTAAAATCATAATTCTTAATCAAAAATAATAATTCATTTATTATATTTATTTATATTAATTTTTATTAATCATATTTAAGAAATAGATATTGAATATTTTAAATTATTTATATTTTAAACAATCTTTTAAATATCTTATTTCATTTATACTTTATTTTTAAAAAAAATTAAAAATTTTACTTTAAAGAAAAAAAAAAAAAATAAGATCTATTCATTCATTATTCAATCTTTTTTATATGAAATATATTATTAATTATATTATATTATATACCTTCATCCACATGAAATATATGCAAATTATATTTATTATCATGTGAAATAAATAAATTAAAAAAATTATTACATCTATAATATTTTATGTAAAAGAAGGAATAAATAAAAATTACTATTGACTTTAAAACTTTGCATATAAAGATAGCTTTGCATCAAGGTCATCTTTAGTTTTATGTGCCTCTGAGTAAAATTATTCACAATTGCCTTGACAATCTTCTTTTCTAAGTTCTTAATTTGAATTTTTGAATCTTCATTACAACACTAAATAAATTAAATAGATTCATTGCAACACTTTTTTATAAAATGATACCTCTACTATCTTGTGTTTTTCCTAGAATATGAATTTTAAATTTTTATAGGAATAATTTAATAATTTAAAGTCATTACTTCTACCATCACCAAAATAAGTATCTAAATATTTATTATATATTTAGTCTATATATCATACTTTTAAGACATGAATATGGTCTTGCTTACAAAACCTTGGTATTTAGAGCAATTATCATCTTTGTACCTATCAATATCAATCAAACTTTTATAAAAATTTTATTCCAATTTTACATGGATTTCTTCTTCTATTGTCAATCCAAGTCATGTTATGTCTCAATTTTAATTGTATCAAAATCTTGTTCATCTTTCACACACCAATTCTTTCTTCCTATTATTCTACAACTTTATATGGTGTTACCAATGTATATTGTTTACAGCTAAAAGAAAATATCTTCTAAATATTACCTTAAAATTCCTTCAAAAACTCCAAAAAAACTTCAAATCTATTGCATTGAGTTTGCATTTTCCTGCTTTGATTCTAATTAGAGCAACAATAGACACTCAATTTTTTTTATCTATACAATAATCTATAATTAGAAAACTAGTGGACTTTTTTTATAAAAGAGCATATGATTTTAGTGAATTTGGTATAACTTACAATGGTTTTATTAGGTAAACATAATTCTATCATATTATAAATATACATATTTGATTTTTGTTCTAATGCTTCTATATATATATATATATATATATATAAGTATACATACATATATACATATATTATATTTATTAATTTTTAATTATATATATATATATATAATTTGGTATAATTTATTTTTCAAAAAATATGTGTTTATATATTACTTATATCATCATTTATTGGTTTCAATTTTAAATTGATTAAATGTTTGATATATATATATATATATATATATATATATCAAATTTTACATCAAATAAATTAATATTTTTTATAATTATAATAAAAATTTAAGCGTATATGAATGAATTTTTGTTCATAATTCATTAACTTTGTTTATCTTTATAATTCATGTCTTACATAGATACTCATAAAAATACAGATGTAGAGAGTATTTTAAACAAATATTCTTCCTTAAGTAAAATCTTTAATAAAAAATTAATATATTAAAAAATTATTAATCTAACAAAAAATTAAGATTTTTATTTTTCTAAAATATTTGTTAAGAAAATTAATTATTATAAATTTAATTATTAAGGACAATTTTTATTAAGCTTTAACCTCAACTTTATCCAAATTTATTATATATTTATTAAAACATCACTCAATAGACCATCTTTGCTTTATTTTTTATTATTTTTGAAGAAACAAGTTTTAACATTAAAATATGTATATGCATATGGGATATAATTTTATTATATATAAGAAGAATTTGATGCAATTGGTGGGATTAATCAATAAGATATATATTTAATAACAAAAACTTTGTCATTATTTATACATCTTTTATAATTTCAATATCTACAAAATAATTTTTTGTATAGTAATAATATTATACTTATTAGCTTTTTTTTTAATATTCTAGTAAGACGTTATTTTTTTTGTAACATTTATGTCATCTTATAACATTATTTTAATTATTATTTTTTTATTTAATTTAAAAAATTCAAACATATGGACTTGAATATTTTTTGAAGTTTGTAGTAAGAACTTTGAATTCAAAAAATGTGTTCATGGAATTAAAAAGATTTATGAATAAATGTGGTACAATTTAAGTTTCTTACATCAAAAGAAAAAAATATATATTGATATTAAGATTTCTATTTGTATTGAAGAGAGTTTGGAGATATTTCTTAATAATGTCCAAAGAATAGAGCAACCACAAAACAAAAAATTATACAAAATAGTCAATGTGTTGTATAAGTAATTTGTTTAAGTACAGAAACAATTGTTGTTGTGATAAAGACTCTACTAAGACAATTAAAAGGCTCCTAACTCCAACTTTATTATTTATACTAAGCTAGTTAATTTTACAAATTACAAACCTAAAAACCATATATATTATTCAATTGCTTATTTAACACAATGTGACAAGAGCAATTTACAACAATTTTTTCCATCTCTTCAACAACATTCCCATTAGATGCACGAATGCACCATGTTTCTAATTTGATTCACATTACCATAAATAAACTATTCTTTTTTCAACAATCATCATCTCATAAGTTTACATGAATCGTTCAATACAAAAAACTCACAACAAGTCAAACTCTTAACCCAGTACCAAGATTGTAAATACGCACAAGTCTTTGTAAGAAATGCATTGACCAAGCAAAAGCTGACCTAATCCACCCATGGACCCAATCCCAGAGAAACCCTAACCCTTAAAGTTGCACAAGCAAGTCTCCTACCCACCTTTGGCCACGAGTCAACGTCGAGGATCCACGTGGACAAGGGTCAACGCCTAGGAGAGTGGGGGGTGGCAAACATGATGGGGGTAAAAGCGCGAGAGGCCTCCATCCGGAGGGAGAATGCTCCGGGGGCAGGCTTGTGAGGGATCTTCGAAGCAGATAATGGCAGTCTCAGTGGGCTCTTGGTATTGGAGGACCCTCCCGATTGCGTTATCGCCATGCATGGCGACGTGGCCCGTGACCAGCCCCATCCGCCTTACCACTCTGTCCCTCGGGGATTTGGTCTTGGCGGACGATTGCGTCCTGGTAGCTCGTTGTGAGGAAAAGGAAGTGGACGAAGGCAGTTTTTATTTTTTTTATTTTTTTATTTTTTTGCGGAGGTTGTAAGTTAAGAGATTGCTCGCTGCGGTAGCTAGGAGCCTTGCTGTTGTCACCATGTCTTCGTCAGCCGTCCTTACTAGGTGTTCCGCGTGTTTGAGAAACGGAAGTTCGGTGTCTGCGCCTGGGAATAGCGCTTTGCCTTCTCGGGTGACGCACCTGCGATCATCCGCGTTGGTCACGCCACAGAATGTGAAATTGACGATGAAGGGGATGGTGGGACGAAGAGGTGGATCGAGCAGGCGTGGGTTCGTGACAGCCAGTTCTAACGAGGATGACGTTATTACCACGGAGGTGCGACGCTCTTGCACTTCAGTTGTGGGCGTTATGATTTCTGTGGCTTTGGTTGGTGTTTTGGGAACGTGACCTAAATCTCAGGATAAAGGAATTTAACTCTCACAGGAAGTTCTCGGTCTACCGGCTGGCAAGAAGCGGCAATTTCCATTACCTGCCTCGGTAGACGAGAGTGTCTCGCAGGTACTTGAGTTTGGCCTTCAATGTACTTAATTTTTATGTGAATGCGTACCGAATTTTGAGTATTTGGCGATGTAGACTTCTTCAAACTTTTCGTGGACATTGTTGCCATTTGATTGAGGCAGGGGGAAGCTCACACTCATAGCAGAGCATGAGATATGTTCGCTGACGTGTTCGCAGGCAAGACAAGCTTGCCAGCAAGCGATTAAAGATGAAAAAATAAGAATGATGTTGGAGATCATTCTTCCCCTAATTGGTGCAACAGATCTTGATGATTGGCCGGTAAGTTAAATTAAAAATCTGTCATCTGTCCTCCAAATCCTTATTTCCTTCGCAAGAACTCCAGCACCAGCTTATGCAATTTGGACATCGTGTTTCGTCATTAGTGATGATATGGGCACTGTCTGTGAGACTATGACACTTTCATTTCATCTCCTATTTGATTTTCTCGCTGTACCATATCATGGTTCACTCAAGAATTGACTCAAGGTCTGGTGCCAGGGGCTGCCTTCGTGCTTCTGTGGAAAATCAGGGAGGTATTGAGATGCAATTCAAGGCTGGAGCGCCGCTTGTATCGACTTTGCTTAGGGGGCTTTTGGATACGGCGAGTGCTCAAAAAAAAGATGGTGGTTGCCGCACCTACATTATTGACGACAGTGACGCAGTGGGTGGTTGGGAAAGTGACGAAGTATGTTAAAAGTTCTCTACATCATTGTACTTACTCATCTGCTGTTCAGAACGTCAGCGTAGCATTTTATTCAGGCGGATTTTTCAGAATTGCTGGAGCTAGTGGCTGGTTGGAGAGGCAGAGTGATAGTGCGTCATGTGAACCATCATGTTTACAGTAGGTTGCGAGCCATAAAAAGTAACCGCTGTGAGTTGACAACAGGTATTACAATGTCGGAGATGTATGAATAAATTGAAATAATTGAGAGAAGATAATAATAGTGTCCCTGATCAAGGATGTCATGTGCTAATCGGGGAATGATAATTTCTTCTGTTCTTCGCCTTTGTTGAGTAGTTCTAGAATTTGGTAAGGAATTATTAGTGGAAGTAATTAACATTATTCTTGTATGTGCAATAACAGATTGCTGCGGTTCTTTTCCCTACTCCTGAGACGCTCGACGCTGTAGAGGCCCTGGCTTCTGTGCCCCATCGTCCTTTGTTGTTGGTGAATGCCCAGTGGCAACCTGGACAGGTGAGATTCAAACGATTGAAGCCTTATTTGTACCTTAGGGGAGAACGTTACATATAACCGTTGCGCAACTTATGGTTATGAAACGTCCTGAATTGGGACAGAAATAGATCACATTTCAAATACATGGTTAATGCAGAGTTGTAAATCTCTTAGGAATATCCGCAGCTTAAAGAGCTCAAAGGAAGAGGTTGCTACAGATTGTGTCGGATTTTGGATTTGGAGCACGTAAGAAAGCACGAGAGGATCTCGTCAATACATTTGAGGTCGTGTATTTCCTGAAGCGTAGTCGCATACTCGGAGAAGACGTGTGTCTTATGCGAAGATACCCCGGCGATTGGCAGGTATCGTTGTACATTCTGATTCTGCCATGTTAATCTGATTCTTCGCAATTTGCATCTACGTTAATTTGCTTACACACTTAGGAGGGAGGTGATGTACATTTGACGTTCCTTGAGTCTAAACGTAGCAGCCACCCTTGGTCATTCTCGAATCTTACGACAGGATGTTAGAAAAACCTCTACAAAATATGAACTTCAGTATGGTTTTCCCGCAGGTATTTGTCATAGATGAAGCCGGTGGTACTAATGAATGCGTTGGAGTTGAATCCGAGCGACCTTCATACAGAAGGCTTGAAGAGATTCTCAAGAGCAGAAAAGGTTCCAAGGCTGGTCAAGGTTGGTTCGACAGACTTGTAGGAGAGTTCAAATTCAATCAGAAATCTCTTAAGAATGACGACAATTAAGTTTCTGAAGGCAGACCTTTACATCAAATCAAACTTCATAACCTGATTATGTAACGTTTGTACTGTATTCGATACAATCTCGTGAGCTGTTTGGGCTCAAGGGATTCAAACAAGAGGGTTCTTTGTTCTCAGGTGAGGCTAGAAATATTGCTAGGAACAAGTGTAATGTAGTTGTAGGTGAAAGAGAACCTTGGGAGAGGCGTTCCCTGATGGAATTTACTTTTGTTTAGCGCAGTCGTTGTGGAGATGGGACTTGGCTATCCAGAATCCTGCTCTAGACTTCAATCTCCATTTCGAGTTGTCGAAACTTATGTTGCATTATTTTAATTTACTTATTATTTTAAAAGTTGTGTACTACCTGTGGATATACCCTAGCGCTTGTTTGCTTGAATGTTAATTTAACATCAATGGCGATAACTTGTAACACTCTATCCACATATAAAGATGATTCAGGATTATGTACAACGTGCATCTAGAATCGATGAGAATGCATACAGGCTCCGATCGACCTTCTGAACGGCAATGGAGTTGGCATGCAAGGCCAAAGACCGCAGAGGCGGCACCACCTGGAGATGTGCTGCAGGAATGGATTGTGTAATTTTTAAGAATTCTAACAATGTTAATATTGTGACACATGTCAAAATCGAATTTTTATCAATGAAAAAATAGTCATGCTGTCAGATGCATCACAATTTGACTTAGTTTTATGGTTTAATGAGTAGTCTCAATTACATCTGCAGGTATTAACAGTAACATTGTTGGAGGGTGAATGATAAAGTCTGAAATCTTCATAGTCAATAACACCAGGAAATTTAAAGAATGGTCTTTACGTACACCAGTAGGATTTAGCGCAAATTGCAACATATCACTTTGTCAGGAATATTCAAATGACTAAACAGTAGAAACGTTCCTAACGTTGTCTCGAAGTGCCCGAAAACTAGGGTTAACGTAAGCGGCCGTCGAACGGATGAATGTCATGTCTATTCATCTCAGTGGGGTTAATTCATTCGTCTTGGCTGATACCCATGAGAACAAAGCTTAGGGCTGAGAATCGGCTCCTCCTTTCTGCAAGGTGTGAGGGGCGACTGCGGACGCACTCGAATTTGCAGAAGTTACAGCAATGGCGCCGTCAGTGGTGAGCAATGGGATTGCGGTCGGGCTTCACAGGGGTCACCAAGTGACGAAGCGGGATATCGCCCAGCGGCCCTCCGCTAGCAAGGGCAAGCTCGGCAAGCGTACCTCCATGGTCCGTAACCTCATTCGCGAAGTCGCTGGATTTGCTCCATATGAGAAGCGTATCACTGAGTTGCTCAAGGTCGGTAAGGACAAGCGTGCCCTCAAGGTTGCGAAGAGGAAGCTCGGTACCCACTTGCGCGCCAAGCGCAAGAGAGAGGAGATGACCACAGTATTGCGCAAGATGCGCGCTGGTGGTCACGCTGAGAAGAAGAAGTAGGCCCCTGGGGGTAAACCCCATTGCATATATTAGGGTTTCGTGTCCGGGGTGTTGGTATGAGGTTTGAGTTCTTTAGCTGCGCTGGTTTGTTGATCTATTTTTACGTGCGGGAGTGTGGCAATAAAGAACTTCTCCTTTCACGCACCGGCTATCTCTTTGCACTGTAGATTTGGAGACCTCCACTAGCCCGGCGCCTTACTTGCATTTCGTGTCTTAATCTTCCCTATTTTCTCGTTTTTAATTCACGATTTAATTGGTTTCTTCTCTTGCTCTTCTTTCTTGTCTCTTGTTTGATGCTGTAGTTGCTGTTTTTCTTGAACTGCTGAGCCAGTTGTCTTCCAAAGGGTTTATCCTTGTGGTTGGTAGAGCTGTCTAGATTTAATCTTGCATACTCACAAGTTTAGTCATGGTTCTGATGCGCTGAAATTCGTTTATAAGTTCGGGTTATATTTTGTGGTTGAGCCGGAGTCCACGGTTGGCTATCACATCTTCGTATGAGTCTGATTGAAGTTCTAACTCTTGATAGATTGCTTGCTGTGGTAATCTGATGGAAGTACCAAGCTATTCTATTTCACAGATTTTCTTGTAGACCTCGATTGCATTACTCCAGGATGTGGACCTGATGTGTCAACTTTTTCATGTAAGCATAGTTTGTACCTCGTCCCTCACGGAGGGGCATCTCGTTTGTCTTGTCCGCACTGAAGACAGATATCTGGTATTTTATACAGATTGTTAGTTCTCTTGCTGACTATCTACTGTTAAATAGTGGTTTACATAATGGCATTGTCAGTAATGTCGTCTTTGATCGTGGTAAATTAGCCCTTACGTGTGGACTTCTTCTCTCACTTTTCTCCCATCTTCAGATTTTCACGCTCAAGTTCAATTTCAGTAGATATTTCTTCAGGGCGGCTGGCACCTTTACACAATTGTCGCTACAGTACTTTGAGAAACATTCCCATGTAGTAGACATAAGTTTCATGTACTTCTCAAGAGCGTAATCTCATGGTCCTTGTTGAGGGGTTTATATCGCCTCTGTTCTCTCATTCATTTAGTTGTTTGTGGGGGTATTCTCGTACAGTTCACTGGGCCAATTTTTTTGCTAAATCTAATTACGAACGTATTCCTGAAACAGTTGTAATCATCGTGATCTTGTATCCTAGAGCGGTGGAATCCTGAACGATTGCATCGGCAGCATGAAAAACTATTTAAAAATGTTTGATAGATACTCATTTTTGTTTGACCCCACTGATACAATCCAAGTATTGCATAACATGTTTCAAAACATTGGTAGTATTTTCCCACTACCGATCATTCCTTTACTGAATCAATTTTTTGGTGACAAGTTATGTGTAGTCAGATTCTCTAGCTTTGCAACATGTTTCTAATCGAAGTTTCATTATGGCACCTGGATCATCAATGTGAACACAAAGTCATCATGTGAAAGGTAATCTTAAGGGAAAGGAATATTTAGTCCGAATGCATTGTGTTTATTTTTTTGACATACATGGGAAAATCTCAAGTTAGAAAGCCACTTACATACTCTCTCGCACACATAGACATGGGCGATGGGCTTTTGACAATGGAGGAAGAAGTGGCACTGTATTTGTCAAAGATGTGCAAGATTTTTCACTTCTGAGATTCACAGCACGCCCAGAGCCGCAAAATAAAACTCCAATCTAGTTAATAAATATGTAAGTTCTGAATTGCTCATTTACGACATTGAGAAATCACCTCAATAAGATTCCACTCCCCACCATGATGTCCATGTAGCCGATTGGAATCCTACTTGTCAAGTAGGAAGCTCTCTTGGGGTCCCAGACCACGGTCAGGGCCACTCTTGCAACTGGGGATCACCGGTGGTGGTCCTTACCCTAGAGCCCACACACTGGAATGCAGAGTGAACGGAGACAGAGAGGGAGAGAGAGTGTGTGTGACGGAGGGTGGGAGTGGGAGAAAAAACTTCCACATCAAATGTGCAAAGCTATTTCGGCTTGAACGACAATTTCATGGCTCCTCCTACTCCTCTCCTCCCTCCACTTCATTGCTGCAATTTGCATCACCGATGTGATATTCGCCTTATTTCGTTGCTGGATTTTTTGAAAATATTGATCTATTCCTCTCTCTTCCTGGAGATCAGGTGGATTTCAACCAGATGCCGTTACGGGAGAGCTCTTGGGATTGTGGAGAGTGAGGGGAGGGTGGGTTCTTCGACCTGAATTTACTTGGATTATCATCGGGAGGTGCGGAGTGATGGTGATTATGGTGCTGCATTGTTTTATTCTTTGGCGGAGAGAGGAGAATTCTGAGAGGATCGAGGGGTTGCGGGAGGGCCGGGCATTGTAGTTTTGTGATCGGATTTGCGAGTGGGGGGGGGGGGGGACTGACACACCGAGGCCATTGTGCATGTGGTGTTATGATTTCCAGAAGGAACTGGTAATTTCAGTTGATTTTGCACGTCTTGTTGCGGGTAGTTTGTGGAGGCTGTGTGTAGCGAGCCTGCCTCTGGGATTAGAGGTGATTAGTCTCAAGTTCGGAAGGAATCGCAAGAGAAGTTATCGTTTCCAGTTTGCGTAACATATCAGCGTGACTGTTTTCTGTGAGCATTGTAGTTTATGACATTTAGAGTGGTTTAGGGCTCGAGCTCATAGTAGGGAAGGCTTGCATTACAAGCCGAATGCTGTCAGTCAAAACACATATGTTATTTTTGTAACTTATTTTTTGATGTTGATGCAATTAGGAGCAGCTCTGCCAGGAAATGGAATTTGGACAGGTCTTTTGCAATGTTGTGTGAAGTCTTGCTAAGAATGCTCCACAAAATACCTGGCTCCATGTAGCAACAGTAGGCAATTATCGAGTCATTTTCTAAACCCCTTAAATCCTCTGTCATTTCTTTTCTGTATCATCAGCCGTTTGATTATTGAAGTTCACAATCATGTCATCATTCTAGCGGTCATTTATCTTGGTAAGAACTAGCATTTCGTCAAAATTGCTTTTTACTTCGATTAGTGATTGAAGGATTTGGTTGAGTATTCTGAGAAGGGATGTATTTTTTTATCACCGGCTCACAATTTCATTTGAATTGTAAAGATTGCAGGATATGCCTAAGCCGGCAAAGATTATCATATGAACCCTCGATAATATCATATTTGTATTCAACAAGTTTTAAGTCAACACAAGCTGAATTAATCGATTCATTTTCGTTACATAGCAGAAGTGGCAGCTGCGTTGTCGTATTTACCAGTAATGACATCTTTGGTTCTTACATTTTCTCTTGCTACATGCAAACACGACGATATCGAATCGAAGTAGAGCCTCGGAAATGATGTTGTCGCAGATAAATTGAATTCTGTTTCTAAATTCAGACTATACTTTGGCTTTGATGCGATGCTTGGTCTGTAAAATGTTTCCGGTGATGCAGACTCAAAGCTGGGAGCAGCGGAGGTTTTGGTGTGTGAGTCTCAACCCGGACTGGGCTACGGCCATAGTGCAGAAATACGAAGGGTCAAGTTTTATATGTAAAACTTAACTGCTATATTACTATATTTGCCCTCTGAGATCCGATTAGTGATCCAACAGCGTTCACTAAGTTCACTTCGGCATCCAATAGAAAATTATGTTCAAGACATACAAGAAAAAAACTTTCTACTCTTTTAACGTTTGAAGAAGGGACTGACCATATATTGTCGAGAGGATTGCGAGACTGAGCTTTTCTCGCCATTTCAGAACGAATTTGGTTGGAGTCTTCGAAGTAGGGGGATGATCATGGAGATGTGGAATACGAGTACATCCTCGAGTAAGTCATCCGTGCAGCCGGGTCCGTCAACACCGAACCAGGTGATTTGCATTTCGGTGAAGTTGCAGGTTCTCAGCAAGGGTGTATATGTTGGGAAGTAGCAATGTCTTTGTTGGCGATACTCAGAATGCCTTCTCTGACCTATTTTTAATGCTCGTGACATAGTGCCTGCACCCCTACCTACATTCAAGTTTTGGTAATCGTAGGTCCGCCGAAGTCGAGGACGATGCAAAATGGGATTGGCTCATCGGTTGAAGCTGTAAAGATTTATCAAGTAGAGATCGGTGAGACATGTAAGCACCTAATGTTTCTGTCGTCTTTCGCGTCACATCTATTCACATCTTCTTCGTACAATCACAGAGGATACCACTTGTTCTTGCTTTGAATATTGGATATTCTTGATCAACACGTACATCGTGAGAACAAGCATACAACACTAACTGTACACAATTGATAAAAGGGCTTGTTAGTCATAGAGCAGTAATCCTGTTGCTATTGATCTTTTACACTCTACTTCAGGAATCTAATTCTAGTTTTCTTCTGTAGCATCGTTCTCTACCGCTTGATATGAAGAATCTGTTATACAAGCTTATATAATTTTTAGACATAACATGTCTTAGTCCAGCTCAATTTGCTGGGATTGTCAAGGATCTTGTCCTTTGCTCTTACTAATTGTGCTGATCATTGCTGTGACATGGGTTATTTGCGTGTCAGTTCGAGATGGATCAAATGCAGTTCCCAGGCTACTGTGGGCAAGGAGGTCTGCATGATCGAGCACACCTTCAATCAAGACCCGCCATTTCCGAATATGATAAACTATGGTTCCAGTGCTAGCAAGTTCAGGTCTGAACTTTTGGCCACAGTTTCTAGGCTGCAGCAGTATCCACCAAGGGCAAGTAATCCTCCATCCGTCGGTTCTCGGCCACCTTTAATGGCTTCCTCTCCTGAGTTCAGTTACATGAATATGTCAGCTCCTGATGGATACAGCGGATGGCCTGCTCAAATTTCTTTCAACCTTTCACAAGCAAATTGTGTGGATGGAAGTGCGAAGTGGACTACAGGTGCAGATGCATGTATTGAAAAAGAAAGAGACTTAAGTGCCGTGACTGGTGGAAGGATACTAGATAGTTTCTTTGTCAGTGGATCAATGACACCAGATGCGGAACTTTTGACGCACAGCTCAATTTTCGGCAGAGGTGCACCTGAGCGGGTACCGGAGACCGGCCGGCATCTTTCTTCTTCTCAGTGGTTGATTGAGTCAGAGAGACAAAGGCAGCAGTATCAAAGAGTGCGGACCTCGACTCTCTCATCAACCAACCGTGATCCGTATACAGGTGACACTACCTCATGTTACATGGGGTACGGTTTACTGAGCCAGTCTTATTCTGCTCTTGGCCCAGCATCGTCAGGAGGTCTTCGAGTTTATTGTATGAGTCACTTTGGAGTACCTATTGGTGAGTGCCTTCTAAGAGCCTTTTTGCATATTCTTTTTCTTATTGTTCACTCACGTACGAAGGAGACTGATGTTAGTTACAATGCGGTGCTGATTTAATATGCTATAGTTCTGACGTTTGGCGGGTTGAGGTTGATTGTGCACTATATGACATTCTTTATGAGTCTACGTGCATTTTGGTGGTATCAAGCCATGATTTTGCATATAAAATTCACAACGGTTCCATCCCTCTTGCAAACGAGTCGGAACGGAAGCCGACGACGTGATAGATTGCATGGCGGCTAGGTTTGGAACGTGTTCTCTAAATGAATCTTGGTCTGAACAGTGCCAACTATGGTGGCAGGTGGGCAGCTGTGCTTGACTGACTCACGGCGCTTGGGGGTGACTTGCACCTGCCACAATCAACATATGTCAGTTAGGAGTTTTACCCAGGTATTTCTGATTTGTATGGGTGGTGATGAGGGTCCTTGGTTTGTTGGTATGAATCATCGTAAAAGGGTCAATAGCTGATGAGGGCCCTTACTGAAACGGCGATATGAACCAATTAGAAAAATTGCATTGTTATTGTGTTTATGTTGATCTTGCATGAGGAGTAGGTATTGGAGCGATAAATTCGGCTTGGGTTTTTAACCGATAATTATGATGAGTTTGTGGTGTGGTTGCGTACAGCATTTAGGGATCAACGCTGGAAATCCTGGCGAAGTTGTGTTTATGGAGGGTGGTGAAACTCTAGTGCAGTGGCGCAAGTCATTCTTTTCACAATATGGGGTAAACTTTGGATCAGGATTGTGGATAGCTATTTTCGAATTGGATGATGTGTATTTATAAAAGGTTGTGGAAGTACTTCATGTTAGACATGTTGTGCAAGTGCGGCTCTGCTGACGGAAGGATGATTTGGGCGATAGGTGAATGTGCCGGAGGACAACGTGGGTTGGGATTGGCTGGATGTTGGTTCTTTAAAGGCAGAGCGGAACTGCGTAGCTGGAAACAGAAAGTGTAAAGCGGTGCCGACACAAAGTTGCCAGAAAGAAGTGGATGGGTCAGGCGGCGAGAACAGTCTGATGATGAAAAATAGAATGACACAGATGTGGGATGCCTCAATAGCGAACAAGAATGTTTCGACGCTTCGTACGACGGAGTCCGTTTCGAATACGAAGTACGGTTCATGGCGTGCAAGAAAAGATATCATGGTGGATCTGAGTGAGGCAGTGTTGAGGAATTATGAGCAACCACATAGAAACACGAGCATATCATCAGATATGATGTCGGGCCACTTCTACGAGGCTTCCACGCACCCAACTCTTTTAAGGAGTCAGCAAAACTTAGAGCCCAAAGCTTTACATAGCACGCCGCATTCAGGTCTTGCCTCCATGAGCAATGGGAACAACTTCATAAATGATGGAAGTCAGCGGTATTCCTTGCCGGCACAGCAGTTGTATGGAACTGCGAGGAACGAGAGAGGCGTGATCCATCCAGTCTCCAGAGTAAGTGAGGGGCAAGAATCTCACACAAGAGAGAATGGCATTTCATCGAGTTTTGAGCTACGGTTGGGGCAGCCATCTCAGCAAACACAGGCGACTGAGACAGCTTTTTCATCCATGGCAATCTCGAATGTGGGGCATCCGAACCCTCATTTGTTCGAGCAGATCATGAGAAAAGGTTGTTGGCTTAAGTGCGTTTTCTGTTTCGCGTGATTTTCATGCCGGTACCAGGTACTGTGATTAGGCTGGTCCAGGCGATGGCATTAAAATGTATGTATGTGTGTATTGGTTCAGAATTTATGTGATAATTTTGGTGTGATTTGACAGTGTGGGATGGAAAGCTGCAACACAATCTACAGAAGTTCAATCCGGCGGAACTGCCCAAATTTTCTGGCATCCTCGGTCAGACGAGAGATCAATGTGGTTTTTACACGGCTCGAAAACCAGTTTATGCAAATGCAGATGGCCTTGTTAATTGCGAAATGGACAGCCGTGCAGAGAATGTAAAGTCAGATTATTGTAGTGTAACGCCGAGTACGAGGCAGATGCCACATTCTTCACAAGCGGGATTCAAACCCGACAACGTATCAGAGTTTCAAGTGAAACTTATGTCCCTAGAATGCATAATGCAGTCAACCGTATTAAGCAACAGCAAGGATCGTCAATTAAAGGTTAAGCAATCAGAGTCAGCAAATTTCTTTTCACACACAGGTCAGTCTCGGAGTGTGATATTGGAGAATGAGATGACGTTGGATTCGCTTAGCTCAATGGTATTGATGGAGGTGAGCAACAAGACAGGGCAAAGGCTTCTGGAAGCAGCTATACAGTCATCGTTCACGTATCGTGCAAGGGGACTGGAAATTTCAGATGCGCAATTAAACGACGTTCCAGTCAGACAAATGTTCGCGAGAAATGTGTCTGGTGATGCAGACTTGTATGTTCGACCCACTGTGGGCGGTGGGGAAATGTTTTGGGAGTTCCTGGCAAGGAAACAGGGTTTGAACGATTTGAGAATTGGTTGTGGAAGGACCGCGGAGAGTGGAAATGTTGGACGAGCTGAGCAGTATTCAAAAGGTGCACTTTCTATGCGAGAACAAGGTGCGTCGTTTATGAACCAGCTTACGGTGCACAAATCTGTGGCTGGAGACTGCTGTACAACGTGTGAGGTGTTAAGACAAGCAATAGATGCTGAACATGTATTGGAGAGTCTGAGTTTGGTGACAGACAGAATTAGAATATAAACAGAGAGTTTGGAGATGCTGGAAGTAGCTCAGGACATACAAAGGGAAGACCGGTCTCATGTCGGTTTGGAATCGGAAGTGCCAAATGAAATGTTTCTACGCAAGTTGAGTTAATGTCATGGTGAAAGCAAGCTTCATGAAAGTGAAGTCTGAAGTGTGCAAATTCGTCTTCTGTTTTGCTCTCAAAGTTGTGTAGATGTTAGGAGCTACATTTTGCTTGCTTGGGGTGATATGGTTTCGGGAGAACATTCATGGAGGTTTTGTCTTGCAAAATGAATCTGCCCTGCAGTCCGTCTTGGCAGTGCCATGGTCTGATAGTGTGAAAGTGGGTGTTGCAGAATTGGCAGGAGGGAACGTGAGGGGAATCGAAATGCGGGTCATCGGTGATCAAGACTACGTGGAGGTTCCACCTTTGAGTGGAGGGGGCATACAATGCAGTTGTTTGAAATGCAGAAAAGCAAGTACTTTAGCGAGAGGGCAAGCTGTACCAAGGTGGGGTGGCTATAACGTCTGTGGAAGTGAATGTCGATGGTCTTGTTGTGAAGTAAGGTAGTGTTGATTGGAACTTCAAGGTTGGTGCAGAGGGGCTTATGGATCGAGTTCATTGAATGAGAAGTTGGTGTTGTTTTTCAGGGGGTCTTGAGAAATCAAGTTTGTTCTTCTGATCATGACTTAGTAATGTGAGTGTCGTGGTGTTTGTTCAGGCTTGTAGGACAAGTTTTTCTGAAGGAAAACGCTTGTCATGCAAGCACGGTGGAGGCTGCAACGAAAGTGGGTTTGGCTGAAGGTGATCGTAATGCACCTGAAGACCCTGTTCAGGACAAATATGCAGGGACTGAGTCAGAGGTATACATGGAAGCAGTCGATGTGAGAAACGAAAACTTCTTGTCGAATACCGTTGCAAATAGGACTGCAGCGGAGAGAGGTGCTCTAGGGAGAGATGAGATCACCCCGGACGCGAAGGCTTGTTCGAACAACTCAGAGGTTGTCTCGAGCGGGCTTTTTGACAAAGGGTGTTCTGTAGATGGGAAAGAAGAACCTTTAAATATGCAAGTGTTTAGCACTACAGGCATTCCTGTTGCAGTGGACGAAGCATCCGGTGTATGGAGATACTCTTCTTCAGACGGCTTGGATGTGAATTTGGGCAGGGATGCGAATGTTTCATCGGCTTTGAAGGATCAGAGTGAAGGGGTGGCTTCCCCATCGTCTCTGGGATGTCCGTCGTCAAGCAGTATGTGGAAGATGCTTATGGTGAAGAAAGGTGGAAAGAGAGGCGCCGTGGGATACAGCAGACAGGACATTGAGGACAATGAGGTGGAAGCAGAACCAGTGGAAATCACAGGCGAGTGCTTTGTCGCGATCCTTGTGAAAGTGTTGGTTGTATTGAGGATTGCATTACTGCTCTGTCGAGGTTACAGTGCGGATGCACATTGGGTTATGTAACGTCCTCTTATTTTTTTTTTGTTGAGAATGTATTGGATACGTGCACACCCGTGTCAATGCAGGCAAATTGCACAGGAAGCAGTACAGGAACAGGAAATGGAAATGGTTAGGGTCGCGTTTGGATGGAAGAGATGACGAGGAAGGCAGCCCGGTGTGTTCATTTGGGCAGCAGTTGGAACCTCAAATTACATCAGAGAATGCAACAGTATCTCAGGTACATGAAAGGCTCATCAGACCGGATGGTTGGAAGAAATACATGAGAGAATCAACTGTAGAGATGCCATCGAATTCAAAGCGGCGAAAGCTATCTACAACTCGACGTTACCAAGGAGTGAAGGCGACAAACGTGACAGAGGAGTATTTAGAGGCGGCATATGTGGGTGAGGCTGCTTTGAAGAAGACGGGAACCCTGATGATCCGAGTCCCTCAGAGATTGAACCACCAAAAAGCGAAGAAAAGGATCCAGATAAAACCACACCTGAAAAGTAGCACAAGAGATTGGAGAGCAGATGCGAATGCAGAGGGTCGCATAAGTGCAAAGGATGGCAGGAGTTGGTCTAAGGTCGGAAAGTCCAAGGATTTAACAAAGGCCCGTGTGGAAGTTTCGAGACCTAGTGATTCAGATTCTGGTTCAGATTCTGTGAAAGCAGGCGTTGAAGTTTCCATTGAGATGCCAAATATTGTGACTAAGAGGCTTCGCAGTCCGACGACTCCGCCTTCGGGACCAAGCCCACGAAATGGGCGGATGATATCATTGAGCGTAATACTGAATCAGGCCGCAGAAGCTGGCCCTGTTCCAGTAGCTGCACAATGTCGGGCTGCCTTGCATCAACCGAGAGATGGAACTCTGAAAGTGAGAAAAGAAGGTATTATGCACTATAGTTTAGCTTTGTATATAAGGTCTGACAGTGACATAACCGGCCGTGTAAAAGAATTTATGGATTAGGACCACTCTGACTTTGGAGTAACATGGAAGACAGAAGGTAGAGCCATAGTAGTGCATAAGAAAGTAGATGCATAAAATCGGAAAGTGCAAGATCTATTGAAGTTGACTAGCAACAATAATTTGGGTGGACCAGGTGCTTCAGTATTCGAGTTTCTAGAGAATGAGGATGTGGCAGTCGCAAGAGCTGCCAAACAGGTGACAGCAGCAGTACAAACGGAGAATGCGATTACAAGGGCATGGTCTGTGGGAATGATAGCTGGCCATTTTCCTCGGGGTGAAAGGTCAGCTAGGACAGGAAGCTTGAAACGAAGGAGAGTGGAGTGGCCTAGAAGCAAAAATGCACAGATAGAAGCAGGAAATATGGTATCTAGAATGGAAGGGACATTCGTGTGCAAGATATCACAAGTGAGATCAATAGCAGGCAGCAACGACTTCAAAGAGAAGCTTCAACGAAAGTTTGGTCGGCAGAGTTTACCCATTGGAAAGCAGGTGCGGTCAAGCAAGGTGAAGCGAAACAAAGAGGTGGTGGAAGGGTTGCAAGCCAAGAATACAAGAGTATCGGTAGGAGTGCATGTAGTAGAAATTAATTCGACGCAACTCGAATTGAGGCATCTGCAAGGGCAAATGAAGGTTGGATTAACAGGAAATGGAGTGCTGAAACTAAAGAGGCCATCAGATCTGTCATCTATATCAGAATTGAGCGCTAAGAGACCGAAACTGGTGCATGCATTGAATAAGTTGGAAGATAGTGCAAGCATAACTGATGGAACTTTGGAGCATGGTGAACTTCTGAAGAGGTACCTTTATAACATGTACAGTTTCATGAGGATGTATTTAGGTTGTCGGTATATGCAGAAGATTCTGCCTTTTTCGATGGTACGATGTGTATAAGTCTTTGTTTGTGCAGCTCTTGTTATGTCAGTGTGGTTAGTTTTTGATATAATGTTTTCAGTTAGGTGTCGTTTGACAAACAGAACCTCGTGGCTTTTATAAGTTTACTTGTGTGATGTTGGTCTCGTGCAGTTGCAAGCGAGTGTTACATTTGGGGAAGAAAAAGACTGTGAAGGATCCGTTGATTGGTACCAAGCTGCATAATAAAGACAAGTCCCAACCGTCGGATGTAAACGGTAGAAGTTCAATGAGGAATAAAGAAAAAGGACCTAGAAGCTTTCAGATTAATCCACTTGGCCAAAGTGGGAAATTCATGTGTGATGTGTGCGGAATTTTTAGCTCAGCCAGTTACAACAAATTATTGTGTTGTGCTCGGTGCCCGGTTAAGGTGAACAATTTAGCATTGACCTGTAGTTTTGTGGTAGCTTTGTCTCTTGATGCGGGCACGAAGAATTTAGTTTAGATGTGCTCTTGCAGGCATTTTCAGTGTCTGTTGGCAAGAGTGGTGAATTCATTTGTGTTTTTTTGTATGAATTTGTAATTTCGTGGCAATTTAGTATGGTTGGTGAAGGGTGACTATACTTTCATAATGGTTAAGATGCATTGATTGCATGCGCAGGTCCATCAAGCTTGTTATGGAGTGCCGAAGGTCCCAAAAGGACCATGGTTTTGTCGTACTTGCAAATCTAGAGTAATCAATCCAGTAAGAGTTTTCCTCCCTGTTCTAAAGGATACACCATTGCAGATCTATTGCACTCTTAATGTCAACTGGATATTGATATGTTTTAAAATAAAAATGCGTTTTATGATATAACTCACAAAGCATAACTCTTGTTTGGATTCCTGGAATTTAATTGAAAAGGACTCGATTTTATTTTTTGTAACGATGACCTTGATTGAGATAGAATAAGGATGAATTAATGATTGTGGTAATGGAGAAATTGAGAGGTTGCTCTTGTTCACGTAGATTTGTGTTCTTTGTGGATACGGTGGTGGAGCAATGACACGCGTTCATAAAGCTCGAGATTTCTGCCTTGGATTGCTGCAAACCTGGCGAGATGCGAAGGGTGAGAGTGTGCCTGAGCCGTTTTCAGAGAAAAATAGTGAAACTCCCTTGTCAGCAGTGAACAACATTAAGTTTTCCAGGGGCAGGTTGTCAGCTGGTCTGACAGGAGTACGTGCGAAGAACATGGATATGAAAGTCAGAAAATGTGAAATTTGTGATTTTGAGGAGCTTAAAGATGACAGTTCGGTTTGCAAAGCTTGTCTGAAGCATAGTCCTCAACCCGGGAGCAGTGGTGGCAACATTGTGAAATGGTCCAACAGGGGTGTGAATTCAAAATCAGGCCATGAAAGCTGGAGAAGTAACAATACGGTTCGAAGCATCATGCATGATGCAGGAGCTAAACAGTGGGCGCATATGGTGTGCACTTTGTGGATGCCTGGGACGCGGTGTCTGAACATGGGCACGATGGGAGCGTTTGATGTATCCAGAGTAACAAATTCTCGGCGGAAGGCGGTGAGTTGGACGGTAACCTGGCTGTCAAAGTTACTGTTCATCAGATTCTGGTTTGCAGTTTGCACGGACATAAAAAAATCTTATTGTGTTCACTTCAGTGGAAGTTTGAGTAGGCTATTTTTATACGAGAGGGATTGCCTAGTATATGAGTATTTTCTCCAAATGGTTGCTGGTATATCGATTTAAATTCAACGTTTATGTCTATTCAATTGGGGCATTACTGGTACGCATGACATTTTTTGACCTGAATGTGATGGTGACGCATAAACTTGCAGCTATGCTCCATGTGTCAGAAGAAAGGTGGTGCTTGCATGCACTGTCGTGTACCGAAATGTTCAACTCCATTTCACGTTTGGTGTGCTCATGAGAAGGTATAATCTCCACAAATTTTGCAGTGTTTGGAGAAGTATGTAGGCTTTAGTATTCATATGAATACAAGTTCTTTTAACGGCAGCTTTTCACGCACAGGGTTGAAAGTCACTAGTTATCCTTTTGTACAGCTTATCGCTTTGATGTCTTGCTTGTCTTTCAAGATTTTGGATTGACTTGCCGTCATCAAATGAGATGAGTTCTATTTTTTTTTTTTAGCATGTTATTTTTCTGATACTGTTGTCTTTTTTATTTGTTTTTATTATTCAGGGCTTATTGCAGAGCGAAATTGTAAAAGATGGGAGCAATCAAGTTGGTTTCTTCGGGAGATGTCAGAATCATGGTGATTTTTCTGGTACTGAGTTGGAAGATGTGATGAAGGAGGATTCTTTGTCTTCAACCAGTGGAGAAGTTTGTGCCCGTACTGAGGTGAATTTAATATCTACAGCGTTGGTTTATGTAAGACTTTTGTTGATGATCGTGAAACTAATGGAATTGAGCTCTTTGGCCATTCGACCCAATTTGATGAGATTCTCAACGAGCATTACAGGTGATAGTTTGAACTTTGCTTATAATGTAGGGATACAAAGGGAGGCCGAGTCTGGAAGAACGAGCCAATGCACAACAGCAAATGACCTTGGAGGGATGCACGGCTGTGACTCCTGAGCAAGTTGCAGCATGGCTACGAATTAGTGGTCGTAAATTATCCACTCGTCGGCTCCATAAATCAGCTAGCTTAGCTATGAAATTTGACCACAAAGTAAGTTTACATGGCAGAAGGGCTAGGATTCGACCGATGCTTGATGTGTTTCTGAAGTAATATTTTGAGATGTAAAAGCTGTCTTTGAGGTTCTGTGGAATGATGTAAAAAGGTTTAGGTTACATCAGTCATAACCTAGACCACTCTTGACAATGCCATACATAACACGTTTTAATTCATGTGCTACTGATCAACCACTTCAGGGTAATTAGGGGAATTATCATACAGTTATGCATTAGGGGATGTAACAGGGCGTTTGTTAAAGGGGATAAATTTCATCACTGATTGTCTTCCCTAGAATGTGACGTTATCTTCGCGACATCCAGCATTAAAATTGTGATGTTTCAAATAGGTAGTAGAAACTTCATTTTGGGAGTAGAGTTTTTCCTCGCTATTCAAATACCGGTAATGGTATACGTGGTCTTCTGTATCTGCTAATGCAAATTATCTTTATTCAATACCACTGAGCTTTTCTGCGATCAAATTCCAAACTGCAGGAATATTTGCGGTTCAAACAGAAGAAAGGATGGAAGAAGCTTGCGGTTTATAAATCAATAATCCACGCGCTTGGACTCTACACTACGGATTTTATTGCAGAACGTGAAGTGGTAAGAATCAGTAGCTCTTTAGCCTTTTGAAGATTTGGAAGAGATACTCCGCTTTTTGTGTCGTGGCAGCTGATTATCCACAAACTCGTAGTTTGAAAAAAAATTGAAACTCAAAAAATGCTCGTACCTTTGTCGAAATTTCTCCAGGGGGAATTTCCACGGTTGCAAAATAGGGTCTATGTTAAGATTGAAGTTGGAAACTAGTTTGTTAAAATAAATTCTTTCTGTCTAATAATGTCTCAAATACCTGTGGTTGGTGTAACATCAGGTTGTAGAATACGTAGGAGAGATTGTAGGTCATCGTGTTGCAGACAAGCGCGAAGTTGAATATCATTCAAGGAAGCGTCTACAATACCAGGGTGCATGCTACCTATTCAGAATAGACACGGAGCAGATCATTGATGCCACCCGCAACGGTGGTATAGCTCGTTTTGTTAATCATTCTTGCTCGGTAAGCATCCCTCTTTCAGACGTTAGAGTTTCAAGTCAAATTTGCATTCTGAAATTTATCCATTTTGTAGAAGCAGGCCTAGGTCCTCAATTAGTATTGAAGTGAACTTGTATTTTCTTTTTAATAGTAATTTAGCACGAGCAATGGTCATTCCCCACTTCTTTAATTAGACGGCTCTTAAATCGTCTTTGAATTCCTTTGGACTCTGGTTCTACTCTGGATATCTTTTGAGTTAGTTTGGGACAAGTATAATGCATATATCTGAACTTCTTTATTGGTCTTTTGCAGCCTAATTGCGTTGCCAAGGTGATTTGTGTTGAAAACCTGAAAAAGGTATATTTTGTTCAGATTCTGTATAACTGCTGCTTGTTCATTTCCTTAAATTCATTCGTCCCTAAAAGAGGAACAAGTGATTGGAATTAGCTTCAGTAGAGGTGCTTAAGAAAGTGAACTTAAAAATGTATTAAGTGATGACGTATTATGTGTAATGTCGCAGGTCATTTTCTTTGCAAAAAGAAACATCGATGCCGGAGAGGAAGTGACTTACGACTATAAATTTAATTACGATGAAGTTGGGGACAAAATTCCTTGCTTCTGTGGTACTCCTGAGTGTAGAGGAACATTGAATTAGTAGAATAGGCTGATTTCAGGTTGCTAGAGCTAAACCAAACTTTGTCAATTCAGGCTGAGTGGCTTGTGTATGCAACCTAGACTATATCAAATGTGAAAGATAATGTGTAGTGTTTTAGGATTCCCAAGTATGCACAAATCTTGCACGCTTACATGCAACCTTACATGCAACCTTAGCTTCACACTTAGTCCGCAATGGTAAAATCTATATAATATATGTAGCAAGGATGTGGTTTGTTCATTTATTTATGACTATGTGGCTTGCCAAGTTTTTCCAGTTTTTTCTTTAATTTTTCAGCTCTTAGGGGCGGTAAGGCCAGTGGATGGTCTGGTGTAATCTGTACCAGTGCCTATAAATTGGGTTACAATCTGGAAAAGTAGCGTGCAGTGAACTTCAAAAGATATTTGTGTGTGTGGGTGGAAGTTGGTCGTGGGCACTCAGAAAGCACTCTACCTAAAATTCCATGTTCTTCGACCGTTGCGAAAATTGTTCTATTTTGAGATCTCCATCGGTTGAGGAATCCATGTTATCAAATGGTGTTCCTTTGTCGCCGTGCAGTCTGAATGGTGCAAGCTTGTCGACAATTATACCATGCAATTCAACATGTTATTACTCGTAGACGCCAATCTTCATTGTTGTAAAAGTGGATGTGTTCACATTGTAAACTTTTGCATTGCTTCTAGGAAGGGAAGAAGACTCGATTATTTTAATTGCATCAACAGTGGCTGATTTGTAGATCGCCAAAGCAGTGCCACTCAATGCAATCTCATGAGTTTTTGGTTTGACTTTCTATTTTACTTGTTTTGGTGTTGCTATACTTATTCTGAATTCAAAAGCTGGTAGAAGTCAACAACGTTTGTTTATATTCTGTCTTACTTTAACTCTAAGTTTTACTATACATACCAGATGTGAAGATTGTTATGTTTTACTTTTATTTTTGCTAAAAGACTCATCTTTATATGATCCATAGAATTGCATAATTTTATAAGATGAAACTATTGTTATTTTTATGATAAGTACACAGGAAAAAAAAAAAAAAAAAAAAAAAAAAAAATCTGAATTATTTAAGCTCATATCTTAAAATATGTTCTTAACTAAATGCTCAATTGAGACAGCTTTGCAAAACATATTAATCTATTGTATTTTTTTAATGTGCAATACATGAAAATAAATACATTGATTTAGATGATGAATTCAATATATTTTTTATATTTCAACTTCATTTATTTGTTGGTCTTTTTTGCTCTTTTCAACTCCTATCTAGCTTTTAGTTTAATTCTAAGAGTGTGTAGCTTTTTTATTTTGGCAATAATCATTTTAGTTTTTTAAAAAATATTTATGCTTTTTGTTTCTTTTATATCATTTTATTTTTGAGACACATTTCACTTCTTTAATTTCATTCTTTAAGTTCTTGTCCTTTTTAAATTGATAGGGATGTAATAACATGATCAAAGCTTTGTCTTTTATTTTATTAAGGATAGATTATTCTTTTCTTTTAATAAGGCATAAATATATTAGAAGTTTTGGATTGTCTACTTTTAAATTACTATTGTTTTTAGAATTTTTGTTGTTCTTGAATCTTCTCTTCTATTTGTTCAAAGTCATATTGAACATCTTTTTTATTTTATTTTATTTTTTATGGCAAAGAATGTTGATATAAAGGATACAATAGCACAAATATACAAGCAAATGAAAAAGTTAATGTTTGTAATATATCAACTCAATTTTTTACCACAAGAACTAACTAGATTGCTTGGAAGTGAAAATATAGAAATAATTAGAGTTTCTTCAACATATATACTAAACCATATTACTTCTCTTATAGTAGAACATTGTTCAAGCATTAATACAAGTATTAGGGAACTAAGGATTTTCTATCTTAAAAAATTTGATAGTGTTATCTTGTAATATGACTATAAGTTTGAAAAAATATATAAAATGGCAAAATATAGGCAAAACATAGATGAAAAAAAGCTTCTATTCTCTTTGTAGGATCTTAAATAAGACAAAAAAAAAAAATGGATTTATGAAAATAATATTATAAGCATCTTTACGTAGAAGTAAATAGTAGCTTTTAGCAAAAATTTACTTTAAAAAACTAGAATTTGATACTTGGAGAAGAATGGTTGTAAACTTAGGTTGAAATCAAACCAAGAAGCAAAAAACTATGCACCTATAGCATTTCTAAGGCTTTTTTTTGTTGATTAAATAAGAAGATTATGGAAGAAACTTTCTAAAGATTATTTAAATGTTAATTTTGTATTATTTAGATTGATTTTGACTTTGTAAGAGTGATTTGAGATTTTGAGAAATAAAAATAAACTTATAATTTTAGAAATTTTGTGGAAATATTAGCAAATTGACAAGTCAATATTTGAATTTTGTAAAACTACTTGTTGGAAATATTTTTTGTAAATTTGAATTCAATCAATCAATTAGATAAAAGTTTATTAAAATTTAATTTGATTGATGTCTTAGAATTTGAATTTCAAGGATTAGTAAGATTTTCTTTAATCTTAAGCAGTAAATTAATTAGATTGAAAAAAAAAAATTGTGAGTGGATAGCAAACTTAGTTTGTAACATCTTATCAAATTTGAAGGCAAGTGAACCATTTAATAAGGAGATATTCTTGCCAATAAATTGACATTAATGGTTGAAAAAAGAAGACGGATAATACTCGAGCAAATTAGGAGTCTTTTATCCCAATTAGTAAGTTTGATTTTTCTTAAATTTTATATCTTTGTTATTAATTTATAGATTAGAATATGTAAAATATTATAAGTAAGATTTTTAAAATTATAAATAGTTATGAAGGTTTTGAGAGTATTTTAAGAATTAGTTAAGATTTTTTAGATTCAATTAAAGCTACTTCAAGATTGTTAGGATTTTCTTAAGATTTGAGTAGAATTTGCATAGAATTTTATCAATATTCATTTATAATTTTATTAGAATTTTATTGGTATTAATTTAAGATTAAATCAGAATTTATTTATATTTAATTTGAATTTTTTTAGGATTTTTTATGATTTCTTTAAGATTTTCTTATAATCTCTTTAAGATTTCTTTTAAATATCTTTGATGATCTTTATAATTTTTTTAAGATTTCTTTAAGATTTTATTAAGGTTTGATTAGAATTGTTAAGGTTCACTTGGAATTTATTTGGAATTTTATTAGGATTGTTAGGTTCTTTGTTTATTGCAAAGTTCAAGTTTTTCTTCTACAACTAAGTACAAGGTGTATTTTCAAGCAAGTTGACACATAATATAATAATAGTAGAAGATCAAAGTTTTAAGGATTAATTAATCAAGTACAAGTAATGATTAAACTTTAACTTTAGAACTATCTAATTTTATAATTACAAAACAAGTTTATTTGAATGTTGTCTTTAGATTCAACTTTATCATGGTTTTTATCTTTTATTTAAAAAATATGGTCTAATATTAGATAATTTTGAGATTTTTCTAATAAAATTTTAATCTACATATAGAAAATATGATGCATCTCATATTATAATTAAAAAGAGTTATATTTTGTATCAAAAAAAATTAGTATCATTATATGCTTTATAATTTCAACAACTTACAACTAATATTAAGTTGGATGATGTCACCCTTATCAATCAATTTTTCTATGGATTGAAATATGATGAAAGAAATTAATGTTTAGCTTATTTGATACTTAAACATTTAGTTAAGCAATTGATTTTGTTATGAAGCATTTATAAATTTATCATAATCAAATTTATCATAATCAAATTTATCATAATCAAAATTCATCATGATCAAATTTGATTTCAAAGATGCAAAAATATGCCTTGGCATCTTTACAATCGAATGGCAATGCTAATGCCTATTACAAACATACATATTAACACTAATAGTTATTAACATAAGGAGAATTAGATAGAAGTAAAATTAGATAAATTTAATAAAATTTTGTAAAAAAACTTTATAAATATAGATTTGACTTAAGAAGTTTTTGTAGATAATTTACAGCTTGAATAATTAGCTACATGTTACACATGTTGTCTACTTGTTTAATACGTTGGCCATATGTCATACATATTAGCTATTTGTAGTACAAATTAATCATGTTACAAACATATTAAAAATATGCCTTTCTAATAAGATACATATCTTATTTATTAGATATGTGTCAAATGATCTATAAAATATTGTTATGTAGTTCTTTAATTAGATAGTATATGTAGAAGTAAAAGTGAAGCCTTCTTCACTTTTTAAAAAACTTTTCATATGCTCTTGTTTTAGTTGAAGAATCTCTAAAAATTTTATATTTGTAATAGCAATTCTAATTTTTATATTATATCTATCTTTGATTTGTCTACTTTTTCTTTTTGAATGCGATAAGAATATATTATTTCTATAGAATATTATTATAATTCATATCCTTAAAAGTTAGATAAGAGTATTAAATTTGATATTTTTTATTTTAGAATTCAATGAATTATCTCACTTTTATTTTTTTTACTTTTGAAGTTGCAAACTATCCACATTTAAAGTAATATTTTTTATTTTTTAACATTAATTCTTTTTTAAAATAAAAATAAATAAATAAACTATCTTTCTATGAAATTAAAAATTGATAATAGAGATTGTAAATTATTCTTTTCTTATTTGACTTATGGATTTATTTAATTTTTTATTATTAAAATTAATTAATTAATTAATTATAGATATTATATTTGATAGAAGTGAGAATAAATTTGCAACTATTGAAGAGATTTTAAAGTTTGTCAATACTTTTAGGGCAAAAAAAAAATATATTATTAATATCAATTTTAGAAGTGCTATTCACATGCCTATAAAAGAAGTCAACAATGATATCTATTATATTTGTTAAAAAATTATGCAATTAAAAGAAATAAGTGAACCAATCTCATGAGTGAATCCAAAAAGTCTTTTTATTAAAAGTACAAAAAAACAAAGATTATTATATCAAAGAAGTTTGATAAAACAAGATCAAAATTTCAAAGATTTCTACAATAAGTCAAGTTCTATTTAAGGCTATATCTTTTTCAATATCTTTATGGATTTATTCATATTAAATTCATATACACACTTATATAAGAGTGCTTTAATCTCTTAGTTTGCACCTTTAATAGAAAAAGATTCACAACTCTTATATGATCTAAATTCATTTTTAAAAATATTTATAATGATATTTAGAGAGAATGATTGAAAAAGAATAATAGAAACAAAATTCATATCTTTATAGCAAAGATCATATTTAATGACAATTTATGTTGTCAAATTCCAAAACTTAGCTTGCAATATTAATTGAAATAATAAGGCCTTTATTCTTTAATTTTTATATAGATTAAGGAATAAAATCAAACTTTTATCATTAACAATATCAAAAATAAACTTATTTGAATAATTTATTGTTCAAGCCATTATATACAATAATTTATTTTTTAAAGAGAAATTAATATGAATATTTGGTTAAAGAGGAATAAATGAAGTCATAACAACAACTTCTATGTTTTCAAAAACTTATTCATTAAGGTCAAAATTTATCCAAATTGATACAATACATTTTAGACCTTTCATTAAATAAGAATAGACTCAATGTTGTCAAAAAGAATTATGTTTATATTTTAAAGAACCTAAATACATTTCTCAACATCGTCCAAAGATATGATCTAACCACAAATAAAGATCATGGTTGGAAAAAGTCACAATATATTAGAAAATAAGTTTGTTTAGCTACAATATGAACAATGCAATTAGATTCTTGTACAATACCTAGTAAAGGTCTTATTCTCTTCTCAAAATCTTTATCTTATTTTATAATAGAAGTTTGTTTAGAATCTAAAAATCACAAAGCCTCAATCTTATTAGATTTAAGAGTCATAGGTTTATTTTCAAATAAAGACTTTGTTGAAAGACAAAACAAATCTTTAATAAAGAAAACTAAGTTTGTATATGTAGAAGTTATAGATGGTTGTCTTTTTTTTTGGAGATATTACATATGAAACTATTCATATTGATGTAGGAATAAATATTTATAATAGCTTAATAATATATAATATTATTAGGCCTTTTTTTAATCTATTTATTTTAGATTTATTATAGCTAGAAAATATAACCATCAAATAAATTAGATTTTTGTATAAACTTGACTTTTTCTAAAGAATAATCAAAAAAATTGTTAATCAAGAAGAAAGTCACAAGCCAAAAAAAATCAAATTCTTATTTGTATGTGCAAGATTTTTCATATAAGCTACAAAAAAATATCATTTGTTATTTATTTATGCTATAATTTTTTTTAATGGTGTAAAACATCAAGCAACATTCCAATTCAATATAAGGAATATCAAGATTTTTTTTTTAAAAAAAAATGCATATATTCTTTCAATACATTGTCTTTTTGATTACTTAATTGATCTTAAAGGAGTTCAACTGCCATTCGGACGAATCTATAGATTATCACAAAACAAATTGGTTGCACTTAAGAAATATATTTATAAAAACTTGGCGTAAAACTTCATATGCCATTTATAATCTCTAACAAGAGCTCCAGTCTTATTTATGGGAAGAAAAAAAATAGATCATTGCAAATGTATTTGAATTGTCAAAGAATCAATAAGATTACTATTAAGAATAGATACCCTCTATCTTTATTATCAAGACTATTTAACCAATTAAATTAAGCAAAGATCTATATCAAAATAAATTTGTAAAGAGTATAAAATTTAATACACATAAAAAAATAAAATAAATTAATTAATTAATTAAATTTTATATTTTAAATTAATTATGGGTATTTTGAAAATAATATCATGTCTTTTAGACTTACAAATAAGTTAGTTGTTTTTCAACATTTAATATTTGATTTTTTATAGATTTTTTTTGATAATTTTATCATTTCTTATATAAAAAATATTTTGATCTAGTTTGAGAATATAAAAAATATTCAAATCATATATTTTTATTATAAATTAAAGACAATAAATTAATTATTTTGAGTATTTTATTATTATATATAATTATAGACCTTCTTGAATATATTACCAACAAAACATTTACATATGGAAGAATATAAACTATAAGCAAAAAATATTTTGTATTCATAAATAAAGTTTTTTATTAAAATATACAAAAAAATTACTTTTTCAAGCTACTACCAAATATTATTTGAAACATAACTTCACCCTATTCTCTTTCAACTTCTATTTGTAAACTATATTGGTTCTTATAAAATAATAATAATAAAAATAAAAATCTAATAGTTGTAGTAAATTAGATACTTTTCTACACTTGCGCCTATGGAAAAGACAAGATATGAGACCATGTGTACAAGAAAAGACATGGAGCTATCAACAATCATAAGGCAAAGCAAGTTATTATGGTTGAGACTAGATTTAGAGACTTTGACCTAATCATGTTATGGATGATAATGGGACTAAATAGTAGACATCATTTTTGAGACAAATGGAACTACAACAAAGACATTTTTTACATTGCCATAGTAATGTGTAGTTGTGGGTGGTAGTTGTTGTTGCAACAAAATCCCAATGCTAGCTATGTTTGCAAAATTACCTTATGATGTAAGCTCTCAAAGTAGCCATGTCGCCAATATTGAAAACAATCTTGAAACTACATCCAACCAAGATAATCTTGTCAAAGAGCAAAACAAGATTCAACCCATTCAAAAATTGACACCAATTGTATTCTTTATATAACAATTCTAAAATCTAGACTTAATTCCATATGTTTGAACACTACAAATATATGGTTGCATGTTAATGCAATATTTTAGAACACTTTGGTATTGGAACAATGACAAATTTGTCAAATTTTAAAGCCCAAGGTGAAGAGCTAACCAACCAACTTGCTAGCAAAAAACTTGTTGTAATCAATCTCAAGTTAGAAGCAAAAAGCCACAACTACAATTAGTTTATAGATTAAGAGTTTTTAACATTTGCAAAATGAGTTTAAAAGAATGGCAAGCTCTAAAATCATTTGTAGAGGGTATTGTGAATAAAGAATAATATTCAATTAGATGTATAATTGTTAAATACAAATTTTCTCAAATAATCAAGTAGTAATAATTGAAGTCCTTATCTACCTTCACCTGTTGATTCTCCACAACTACATTCAAAAGCACTGTCACCTCCAAATGAGTACAAAATGCACTATTCAATGATCCAACAAAAACTTCATTTCAAGTTTGTGTGTGATACATTATTGCTTTCCAGAGTTTGTGCCGACTAAAGCAAATCTCATTTGATATGGAACTGAAACTAGATAACAAGGGAGCTGAAGTTGATTGAAGATGAAGACTACCTGGATTTCACATCGCCTAGATTCCAAAAATTGTTGCATTGAAAAAACAGAAGCTATCACCCATTGCTGCAAACTGGGAAATGAAGGAATTCTAAAGACATGTTCCAGCTTGTCTTCAGAAATTGATCCGTCTCTACGCCGTGCAGTAAAGAAATGGAAAAAATCTACTGATACATTCATTGGGAGTAACTGATTAACATAATGAATACACTGGGGGCAACGGCACTTACAACTACTTCAGCAGCCACCATAAATATCTACGACGAAATTCTGAGTTGGGTACTGACTTCAGCCTACATGCTACAGGGGTCACCAAGGTGGATCACAAAGGAAATTCTATACAAACACAGCACTCCACACGGCATCGTCACCTTCCCCACATCTTTGATGCACCTCTTTTATCCTCTCCACAGACTTGCAGATTCCACTGCATGTCCAATCAAAGGAAGCCACGCAGATGTTCCCTGCTAGGGCCTTCCATTCACAGTCAGGAGGAGTCCCACAGCACATGTTCCGATCATCGACATGGGAAACGTCCAAGCCGATGATCCATGCACCCAAAGATACATCCTCATTAGCATACTTATGTAAAAGGAGTTGATTCACAGCGATGTAGTTGGCTAAGTCCTTGGACAATGCATATATCTGCCCTGTCGCATGCCGGAAATACTTGTTTCCCTCTTCTCCGAATTTCCAATACTCGGGCTCATGGTACTTCACCCCCTTTTGATTAAGAACAGGACCAGATTTCATGCAGCCAATGTACACACGCGGCTTTGAACGATGTCTAGCCAACGTTGTCCCAAGCACGCCAAGGTTGACATGCACGTCGTCATCCACTTTCACATAAAAATCAGCATCCCATTTCTTGACAGCAGTTGCGAAATATATCTTCGTCTTCATTGAGAGTTCATGATATCCTTCAATATGGTGAAGCCGGAGGAAATCACCGTGCAGAGCATCCTCAGCTTCAATGGCTCTATCAAGGATACCACCTGGAGTTGCACTGTGCCCGATAACAAAACGCACGACTATCCCCTTCTGCTCTTCCAGTTGCTTCAGCTTGACCCCCTGGGGCATCCAACTTTCCCGCACTGAATCCCTCCTCCTCCTACTACTAAATGCCGTATTTATTCCCACCACAACAAAGGCTTTCTGCCGATCATCTGCAGGCAAGTCTACTTTGGTATTTTCATGTGTTATAACAGGCCGTGAGTCGCTCCCGATAAGGGCCCCTTCCTTTGAACGAGCAGTTGAGTGTTCCACCTCCAAGGAAGAGATCCCCCCATCGAGTGTTTGATTGACTTGGTGGGTACGCGACACTTTTTTGAGAATGTTGTTCTGTGCCACGACTCCAAAGCCAAGCTTGGCATTGGGGTCACATTCAACCCTCAACGATTCATCTGTATTTGGACTAGGCCACATCCTATTTGTGAAAAGAAATCCAACAGAGAAACTTGCGAAGCAGAGTACCAGAACCCTGTTCCATGTCAAATTGCTACTTCTAAGCCCTCCATCTTTTCTAATACGCATCGCTACTTCCTCCACAAGCTCCCCACAGAAACTTCGTGATCAGGATTGCCGAAAAGTACTACTGCTCGCCAAAGGTTTAGTTAACAATCTACATCACAGCAAGCACGGCCTTTTAGCGAGAAAAATCTTACAACCAGGAGTACAGGCGTCCATCTTTCAGAGATACAGGATAACTAGTGCTGTAGACATTGCTTCAAACCAGAAACAACAACAAGAACAACAATAATACTGATACAATAATAACAATATCCTCTCGTTATGGAATGAATTGTAGTGTAGCCCCTACAAATAATGATCTCTACAAAATTTCATACACTATGCGTCAAGAGTCAACGAGAAAAGTACAAAATATGAAAACGCCAGTCATGGTAGGTGTTGGAGCGAGCTCATTACTTACGACTCCCTGGCCAAATGAGCATAACCGTGCATATGGTTCAATATATCAGAGCATAAAGAGATGTGGTGCTTACGATAAGAGCATAAGCGTGAATAACAGTAGCCGAGTACACGCTAGATCCTCGTTTAATCTGGTTTAATGAGGTTTAATCTTCGATTCGTCGGACCTGCAACATGCCCGTAACTTGCAAAGAGCCACGTACTCTTATACGTCAGTCACTGGACTACCGCCTACGCCTCCAGCATACCGTGAAAATATTTCAGTCTCTACGAACCCACCGGGCCTACACATTGCTGAATTCACGTCTTAAACAACCTCTACTGAAATTACACAGGAAGCCCGTCATTGGAAAATACTTAATCATCCGAACTGGTGACGATTCATTCCTAAGAGGGCTGTTGGCGCAGATTGGCTGTAGTGAAGGTCCTAGCAAGAAAAAGGAAATGCCCCAAACAAGCCATGCGTTTTCTTTCAGACTTGGGTCCTGCGTTGTAAGGGAAGAGGAGTAACGAACGTAATGCTCAAAGACCAGCACGAAATCTCTCGGGAATCGAAGCGACAGGGAAGAGAATGAACCATACCCTCGACACATAAACCAATCCGCTAAGATCTAAATTTGCGGAAGCATATGCTCGGTGCAGAAACGAAAACTCAGAAACTTGATCAATAAAATCGTAAAGAAAAATAAAATAAAATAAAATACTATCGTTCCTCTTATCGAACCATAATGAAAGCATCCACACCTACTCTGAACAATTTCCCAAACGCCCTGCCGCACTCGCAACCTTCTATAAACACCAATTACACTGTACATATGAATCAATTCCAACGAAACCACTTTCAGTTGGCTGAATCTACCACCATCCACGCTACACAAAAAGAACTCTACGATCATAGCTGCACGCTTCATGCAACTGCTCCAACTCCACAACCCTCTTCAAGACCTCCGACTTAACTCACTCGAAATTCATTTTACAATGACGTATCCCATCGCCATCCCCAAAACTCTTCCTCCAACCCTAACAGAATCTCAACGTCACACACACTGCCCCTTCCCCCGTTCTCTGACACCACCAAGGCCATCACCAACTGCTCTGGCATGTCCAGCCTTGCCACATAACCAAACTCTTCGCATTAAACAAGCTTGCTGATCTCCGAACTTCCATAGAAATCACTTCGCTATGCACCAAGTAGCTTCGGCGGAGCCTCGTCTCTTAGCGGTAGTTTAAAAGTTCTTCCTCATTCTTCGGTTTCTGCCGTGTTGGACTCCGAGGTTCATCAATTCCATTAATTGGTCCAGGTGGCATTGGAAATTGCACAGATGGCAGCTCGAGGGCCTGCGGAGAGGGCGAGCTTGGGTTCTTGCTTGGTGACTCGTGAGGCGCTTTTTAGGAAAGAATGGCCTACTTTATAGTTCTATTCTTTCATTTAGAAGTGGTTACTGCTAGAGATTTGCTGAGCTGGACGAATAGGGTCTTATTGTGGACTGGGAATTGATGAGGTGGACATCGCACGTGTTGTACGTTAGAGCTGTGTGGTCCTTTTCTCATTGTGTGCGGGTCTAAGGAACATTACATGAGGGTGTCTCCATGCACAAGAGGACAAAAGTTAGGAAGTACGGTTGATTATTACATATAATAGACATGCTCATATATATATATATATAGATATATATATATATATATATAATAAAGGAATTGTTAAATTGACGTGTGCAGTTACTAAATCTACCTACCCATCATCATTGGTTGAGGATCTAACTATTTTTTTATTAGTTTTTGACCAATGCAGTGGAGAATTTTTTAATGATGGTTAGGAGGGGTGGGTTGATTTTGTAAATATTTGGGTAAATTTAACAAATCCTTTTAAATGTATGTATATAGAGAAAGAGAAATGATAAAGCAACCCAAATTTTTACTAAATCAACCCACATGCTTCATTCCCAGCCATTTTCTCATTCCTTTGTTCTCAATCGTCGCCTCTGTTTCCAAAGTCCCCTACCCCTGCCCCTATCTTTAGCAATGGTTGAGAATGGAGAATAATTGAGAACAGGAACAAGGGCTCCAAGGATGCAATGATACTTAAGATAGAAGGGGTATTTTTAGTAAAATTTTGAATCGCTTTATCATTCTTATATATATATATATATATATATATACTTATATGTGTATATGAAATAAACTTGGTTAAGAAATTAGTAATAAATTTTGTATCATTTCCATATCAAAACATGAATATAATGTATGTATATTCTCAATTGAAATGTCATGGGGTAAGATCAAAATTGATTTTAATTTTTCACTAAAGATTTGAATGGAATATAAATATTGAAATATTAATGATTTGGAAATATGACAAGTATGTCCCTCAGATTGAAATTTGAAATCCTTCTACAAATATTGTTTTATTATATTATTTTTTGACTTTTTCCCCAATTACAATATTTTTAGGTAGTAATGTTAGTAATGAGAGATCATAATACACATGCTTTATATTATGCCAATTATATAATAACACACTAGAATATATATATATATATATATATGTATTATTTCATATAATGAAGAAAATATATATCTTCATCAACTCCAAAAAAGCACAAACCAAATTACAGTAAATCTTACAATAAAAAACTTTATTTTTCATTAAGAATGCGATTTATTTACTCCATAATCTAAAAATTAATGTATACAATTACATGCTCTTAAAAAGTTAAAAACATACAATAGTAATGCTGAGCGAACAACTAATTTCAAACTAGTTCTTTTCATGTGGCCGCTGGAGGAACCGGTCCGCAGCGATGGGCTAGGCTCAGGAATCCGGGCCCTTCGCCGTGGGTTCACCTCCAGCCCTCGATCCCATCGACGCGCCGTCGCGGTTCCCGGGGAAGCAGGGCTGCCATCATCCACCAGGGCTGTGGGGGACACAGTGTGGAGTCGCGATAGATCCCTAAATGCCCTGCCTCAATTGCTCTCCCCCTAAGCCAAATCCATTGCTCCCGGCTCTGATTGTGTGCGAAATTTCGTCCCGCAAGTGGGTATTTTGGTTCGTGGCTTGTCAGCAGCAGTAGCTACACCAAAAAAAACGAAAACAGAGGAAGAAATGACGGTCCCGTCTTCGCGTCTTCCTCAGGCAAGTTGTGAATATGTCGCTGCCGTAGTGAAAGATTCGGTTTGCAGGTTTGTTCTGATGTTGTATTGGCGAGGCATGCATTTGGTTACGAATCCGGAATTTGGTGTGTATGGGCGTTGCAGGATCAAGCAGACGAGGATGAGGGTCCAATGTTCGTGAACAACGCTGAAGTATTGCATGAGTATGAGGTCGATGAGGAAGGTGCGTTGGTCTGAGGCGAATTTTGTCCTTGCGTGCCAATGGAGTGTAGGCAGCCCAAGGTCCGGACGATCATGGATGTTGAGCTTTGAATGTTGATGTCGAGAAGCTTTTTAGTGGCCTTGATTTGGTGTTGAGGACCTATGATGGTCCACGTCCGGTTGCATTTTTTTGGTCCCCGGCATGATAGTGAGATTTCGCTGCAGACTTGCCGGAGGCAGACGACGACGGAGACGACGATGGAGACGGTGGAGACGATGACCATAAAGGGGATCCAGATGATTTTGGTACATTTATGTTTTTGAGTACATTTTACGAAGTGATTATATGCAATCAGTTTGAAACGCGGTTTATGAAATGCACCGAGCACGAATACATGACCTTGCAACTGTAAAACTACGGTATGCTTCTGTTTATTGTGAGAGTGCGTCATCTATAATTCTGGCAGTACTTTATTAAGCTGAGCTCCATCTTTTGTCCCTTCACGCAGACATGGACTTGGCAGGAGACGGCTTTCCAGAACATGACGATTCTGTTCACACCTTCACTGGTCACAAAGGTAGGCGTCACATCGACAACATTTCGTGTGGTAGTTTGTAAGATTGTATTTGGATTGGGTTGATTGCAAGCTTTGAATTGAAAATTAAACCACTGAGTCATTATATGTTATTGTTCTACACAGGTTAACGTGGTGTGGAATGACACTGGTGCAGGACCTGTTTACTCAGTAGCTTGTAGTCCCACCGACACCGGCTTGGTCGCCACTGGGGGTGGAGACGACGTTACCTATGTTTGGCGGGTTGGAGATGCAGAGTCTCACAAGCAGCTTGGAGGTAATTGAGTTCGATTGTGTGTTGGTCAAAACACCTGAACATAACTTGTGATTTGTTCATTTGTCTTCTAACAAGGTCCGATGTGTCGTATTTTTTGTAGAGCTTGTGTACGTAGTGATGAGTTTCTGTCAGCTACTAAGTGGCTTTCCACCGCTTGCAGGTCACACGGATTCAATAGCTTCATTAGCCTTCAGTCATGATGGTCAGTTGCTGGCCTCAGGAGGTCTGGATGGTATCGTTAATATATGGGACAGCTCAACAGGAACACTGAAACAGAAATTGGAAGGACCTGGCGAAGCCATAGAGGTTAGTGACGTGTCCAGAATGGATGCTAGTACCGCATTCTTTTTAATCTTTCGTTATTTAATTCTTTTTGATTAGTTTGTCGCGTTATGTCATCTTTGGATGGAGTGTTAAGCTGACATTCGTCCATCATTTTCTGGCAACTAAGCAATTAAATTGGAAATTTCCTGTTTAGCGGTAACTAGTTTTTTCCTGAAAATAAGTAAGATGTTATCTGCGACTTGCATGATTCTTTGCTGCAGCATTCTTAGTGTTCACTGTGACAACAGTGAGATTGTGATTGGTGTGGTGCAGTGGGTGAAATGGCATCCAAGGGGGCATGTATTGCTGGCAGGAAGCGAAGATGTGACAGCTTGGCTTTGGAATGCCGACACTGCTGCTTGCATGGCTGTGCTCTCTGGTCATAGTGGTGCTGTCACTTGTGGTGATTTCACCCCCGACGGTAAGTTATGCCTTTTGTTTTTCTGCTCAGCGTGATTGTTTCGTGTAGTAGCCTCTACATGAGTGTTAGTGGCTGATATGCTGCTTGGTACATTATTAATTGGACTAGGTGTCTTTGTTTTTCTCAACCAATTTCCTGTTTCTTACTGTTCCAAAGTGGCTAGTGTAATGTTTTTGAGTCATATAACTGGATAATGAACGCATTATTTGCTAGTAATTTTCTAATAAAGCCAGTGATGGTGCAGGCAAAACAATTTGCACAGGTTCAGAAGATGGAAGCTTCCGAGTCTGGAACCCGAAATCTGGAGAGAGCACTCGAGTTGTTCAAGGTAAGGATCCATAGAACAGATTTTTGTTGCACGCTTGTCGGAGCGGCGGTTAGTTCGGTCGTATGCTGTTATTTGTATATTTGGGTTTCATTTTCTTCTACATCTGAGTTCATGCTTGCACAGTTTTCGCATCCTATGTTCCTATCAAGAGGACAGGCTGTCATTCTATTTTAAAATAGTTCGGGAGCATCGACTGCTGTGATCCCACTTCATGGTAACACAAGTCGTCTTTTCGAAAAGACATGAGTTCATTTTCGGATTTTGTGCAGGTCATCCGTTTCATACCGAGGGGTTAACTTGCCTTGCTATTTCCAATGATTCTACTATCGCCCTCACTGGTTCAACAGATAACAACGCATGCATTGTGAACATTCAGACTGGGAGGGTAAGTCTCTCTGACAAGTCAAATGGTGGTATGTGTGTTTTTATCCGTTTATTATGTTAACACTTTTTTAGTGTTTCAAACATGATTTTAAAAGAGGTATTGATGTCTTAGGTAACTGGCGTGGATGTGTGAACCACGGCATTTTATCTATTTGATACTCCATGCAATTAAGATTTTGGTGTGTGGTTAGCTTGTTTCTGGAATTCTTAGAATTTATGGCGTCAGATCAATTGTGGAGATCCTTCATTATCTACGCTGAGATTGCACATTATTATGATATCTGTAATCTTTTGCAAAGTTCCGCTCATCTGAGAGTTTAAAACATGCAACACATTTTCATATTCTTCTATTTCGTGGTGTGCAGGTCCATGGGACCCTTGCGGAGCATTCTAAATCAGTTGAAAGCGTTGGATTTTCATCTGGGTAACTATCACTTGTTCTTTACTTGAATTATGGTTACTTGGATGTCCTAGTAAGCAAAACGCACCAGAGAAAATCTGCTCAAGAGTACTTACCTCTGTCATTTATGTAGGTTAAATCTGGTTGCCACCGGTGCAATGGACGGGAAGCTTATAATTTGGGACTTGCAAACTCTTCAATCTCGATGTACTTGTGAGCATGAGGTGCGTGATAGAGAAACTGTTGCTGTCATGGTGCTGATAAGAGCTAAGGACAAGGATCCATGTTGATATTGTACTTTGATTGACATTCAAATCTGAAGCCGTAATTTTAGTTGTGACGGAATCCTTAATTGAACGATTAAAATTCAGAAGTTTAATTGCAAATATTCTCTTCGGGAAGTAGTCAACAATAAAGGTGTTACTTTTCTTGTTTTTTCATGACAGTCTTTAATGTGATCTTAACATGCAAAAACTGCTGTGACGTTATTAGGATGGGTTGGTAAAAATTCTATGGTCTCCTGCATCTCAAATCGTATACACAGCCTGTTTGGATGGAAAAATCAGAGCGTGGGATGGGCGAACAGGAAATTGTGAACGTACCTTCCAAGGTCACGGAGATAGCATTCTTGACCTTGCTATATCGAGGTATTATCTCATTTCTCTGCTAACCAAGTGTTTCCAACCTGTTCGATTGAATTACTATCATGTGATATAACAATGTCGTTTTACATTTATTCCATTTCGCTGTGAGCAGCTCTAACTTGGGTCTATGAATATCACAGGGACGGAAATCTCATTCTATCAGGATCTGATGATGGAACTGCACGAGTTTTTGAATTTTGAGGTATCGCGCCATTAATTTCAATCATTATTCAAGTTGTCCCAGGTATATGGAGCATAGTTGTACCCGCGGTGTTAGTGCATAGAGTGTCTCGGACTACGTCAACGTCCACTGCTCTTATTATATAGTGGAAAAAATTTACATGGTTTCTCGACAGAATCTAACATTGCACGTAAATTTACGGTAGGTTTGTGCTAGGATCTTATCTTTTGTAAATTCGCCACTTATTATATTGCAGCTCTGGTGAAACGTATGAGAATAATTATTTTTCAAATCCAGTACATGCATAAATTAATTGAGAGCTTCCTCCGCCTCTGCATGGAACGGTCGCTAAAAAATCCGATAGTACTGCAACAAAGTGGGCACTGAGGTAGATATTGGCCAGATGACAATGAAAAATTTCCAAGTTGAGAACAAATGATAGATTATTTCAAATAAATGTCTCTTATTACGGTTCCATGTTTTCACAGGCTGAGAGATTTATCACTTCTGATTGTGGCCAAACTAAAATCAATAATTCTTCTAGAAAAGGTAATTACGTTCTCAATGAACTGATGTACATCATTGATGCACGATTGAAACTAAGCACTGCTTCCAAGCACGATTCTTCTGCCTTTCTACTCATTAAGAAATGAAATTATGCCGCAAATTCTAGGCAGTTCCTACTACAGGTTTCGAACAAAATCTACAAGAGTTTTCAGATGCAACTTTCTGTATGCAACTTCACACACCTGCACAACATGCATGAACTGACCTTAAGTAATTGCCACCTGCAACAAACGTGGCATGACACTCTTGGCCTTTCCTGGAAGAGGTACTTATCAAACGTGGAGAAGCCCAGATTGAGTTTGTTTTGCAGATGAACTGATGAGACGCTGCCTATTATCCCCAACAACGCAATCCCGACAACCCCAAGACCTAAGCAATCCTCGAAGCTTTTCAACTGTCTTTACGTCACCTTCTCTACGACACCGCCTCCACAACTTGTAGAGGACTTCCCTGCATGGGATATGCCCAGCATCCATCTGCAGCAAAAGCGACCATCCCCGTTTTACCACATAGAAAAAAACCCTTAAAAAGTAGCTTCAATACCCAACTGTACGTGAAATTCAAACATGAACTATTCCAGGCTGAGACGCTTACCATAGCAGCGAGAACAACAGAAGCTGCTTGCATGTCACGATTGACGACATGAGCAGTGATCATCAACTCAAATGATCGCTGATCTGGAGTAATGCCAGCCTCGTTCATGTACTCGAACAACTTCACAGCTTCTACTGTCTGCGCACAGCAAAAAATAAAACTTTAAAAACCAAAAAAGGACCACTTAAAAGAAAGGAAGATAAAAATATAAAATCCATTTCCCTCGGTCAACTAGAATTTTCTAGTGTGTGCGAATTAAGGGACCCTGAGCGACACAAACCTTTCTAGTCTTTCCGAAAGCCTCCAAGAGAGCATTTATGGAATGAACATCAGGACTTAGCCCAAAGATATTTCCAATAGATTCGAAGGTCTGATATGCACGGTCAGCATCCCAAATATATGCACAGCCGAGTATGACGCAATTTAAGGCTGCTAGAGGTACTGATTGTCCACTACCATGCATTTCAGCCAGCTTGAAGTATGCCTGCGAAACATGTAAGAGAGTCAGGGCTTGTGCTCAACATTTGGAAGTAGCTTCTATTGAAAAGCAATGCACCATGAAAATAGTATTCTAGCATCGTGCACCTAGGACAATGAACTTTGATGTCCGGGCGTGCTGCAAGTTACTCGTAGGCCAGTCACAATATCACAAGTCTATCTATTAGCGGATTCAAGGCAGCAAAAGTGATCCCCCACATCCGTCCCTCATTACCGAAAATAAATAGGTTAAACTTACACCATCCAGTCCAGTGGGGCCCATCTGAGACAGCGAAAGCGTAAAAGGCCTTAATGACGAGAATAGACTCAAAATTTCTAGCTCTTCTGCATTTCGAGGGATCTTAAATTGATTTTGCATCTCTGCCAGAGTTGAAAGTGCGGCATCGAACTGTTGTGAAGTGGACAAGGTGTGCACCAAGGCCATGCAAGCAGCTGGGTTATGTGCACGAGCTGAGCCAACAGACGACTTAAGAAGGTCCCAGGCCTCTTTCGCAAGTGCGAAATTAGCAGTGCGTGCAGCCGTTCCGAGAATGGCCACAATACTTCCCTCGTCCATTACCAGGGGCTGTGCAACCCTTGGTATACTTTGATTGTTGAGGTATTGTAAAGCAGCAAGAGCACATTCCGCATCATCGACTTCTGTTGCTGCTATGACCAATTCTACTAATGTCTGAATTTGAGGCGTCATTTGATGAGCCTGAACAAATGCAAACAGGCAAATCGGTTAACACAAGTCATAAATAGCTGAGCTCAACTACTTTTACTTAGTCTACAGCCGAAGCATTTAAAATATAGCGCTGGATGCAAGATGGTGGTTCGTGAACTCCCACCTCCAATTGCTTCATTACAGCAACAGCTGTTTGGGTGCGGTGGACACGAGCGCACTTCGTTGTACGTAATCTTGCTGGGCACAAGATTTCTCTCGTACATAGCCTGCATATGCCTTAACGCAGCTGGTATTCTTCGATTAAGGGCACATAAAGCAATAACAAAGTTGTACGCATCCCCGTCTGGTTGCGCCTCTGGTCCAGCTCGTTCCATTCTGCAAAGAAATCAAATATAGAAAAAATTGATGTAAACCATTGTTTGTTTGCATTAAAAATACCATCTGAAAGTGCATTAATCGTCAATGCCCTGCCATACGGCATCTTGATTCCAATTTACTGATCAGGACCGAGGATAAAGAGTACATTTTCAACAAATGCAAAATTACTGAGACCAGTCTTCCAAATTTCAACTCAAGAATGCATATCCTGCAGGAACGTGGATGCCCCGACAAAAGAAATGAAGAGGACATAAAGTGATAAGAAGTAGACAATTCTCATGTTGTTCTTAAAACTATCAGCGGTAATCGAATCCGCAATGACGAAACTCACTTAGAAAGAATAAGTTCGGCTGCCTTCGAATCTCTCTGACGAAATACCGATCGCAAAAGAAAATTGTACGAAAGTAGAGTTGGCGTTACGCCTTCATTCTCCATTTCCTTCACAATCTGGTGCAGTACATCAGGATGAGTACCTAGGCGGAGCTTGGCATGGAGTAGCAAATTATACACCAAGACATTCGGCTTTTTAGGAATCCCTGCTACATCCGTCGACTTCACCCATTCATCATAAATCCGCACGGTTTCGTCCATCTTTTGGTGGGAGAGCTCATTTGACATTTCTCTCGCTACACCGATCGCATCCAGCTCCCCTACAGCCGCATTGTCAGTTGGTGAAATGGGCTTGAATCCAGATATCACCGAAAATCCGGCCCCTTTCCGCACTGCACTTCCCAAAGCTTGAAATCCTGGTGCCGGGCTCAAAGCAGCACTGGCAACTTCCACCTGCGACGACGCTTGTGCACAATGCGCACTGCTGCACACACTTCTTGCGCGTCCAAGCCGAGGCAGCCTAAGATCCTTTTTCTCTACCTCACCTGTCTCTTGAACAACCCCATGTGGACCACCCCCGAGTGAGCACAAGCTTCGGGCTAACATCTCCCGCTGCCGCACACTCAAGTGCTTGCAAATAAGCTTCAAATTCTCCCTCAACGCCATCTTTCCCTGCAAATCCCCCAGTAAGCCCTAATTAGAACCCAACCACTTCTATTGATCGTCCTACAGCCCCCGCTCCTTCAATCCCTCGCGAACTTCACAAGGCACTTCAGATGCTCTGCACGTCAAGCACAAGTTCCTATAGAGTGAAACGCCAGAGAATTCCCAGCCACCATGGCTGGGAGAAGCAGGTGAATGCCACCACCACGTCGAGTGAGGCCAATGCGCAATAGGACCTGATTGCAGGCTTGCATGGTGCATCAGAATACAATGCTTCGTGACCGAATTGAATGACCCCGAGGCAGAAGGGTCCATCGCCATTGCTGCGGCCGTGGGTGCCGTCTGCCGCTGCCTCGCGTTCGCGTCTCCTTCAGTTATGTCTGTACACGCACGCATGGAAGAAGATGAGTTGTTTCTCATGACCTTGCATGACATGGTGTGGCTAGAAGTGTAGGGCCACCTTTTCACCCCAAGAAACATGCTTTGAAGCATCATTTTTTTGAAAAAATTCTATGTGACTTGGATATTGTGTTAAATTTTAACATTTAGCATGGAAAAAGTGGTAACTCTGAAAAAATGTTTGCTAATATATTTATATTGATATATGTTTCACATGATTGTTTGTTTGTTTATTTGTTGTTGTTGTTTTTGTTTTTCTTTTTCTTTTCACATATTGTATAAAAGGTGATTTTAAAATTTTAAAAACCTCATATCTCCTAAAATAATATAGACTTGCTAAAGATTTTAAACATACCATTAGAATACCAAGCATAAAAATTATGAAATAAATTAACTTAAAATATTCAAAAATAAAGAAAAAAATTCAACTAGAAAAAATACCAAGTCAAAAATCATATATCAAAAAAATTGAAAAGTTTGTAGAGCATTTTAAATTCACTATTAGATTTTTAGGCCTTTAAAATAATAAAGCAAGTCAAATCAAAACTTACAAAATCCTTCCTATTTACATAGTTGAGTCAAAAACCAAAATGGTCAAGTTCTGAATATTTACAAATCTATATAATTTTAGAAAAATTCAATGACATATTTTGACTAAGCAACCTCTAAATGGACCAAAAAATATTTTAGAACTTTCAAAAATCCTTTTATGACATAAGTCAAAATCCTAATCCTAAATCTCAAATCTTAAATTCCTAAAATTTTAAACTTTAACTCTAAAACTTAAATTCTAAATCTAAATTCTACATCTTTAATCCTAAATTCTAACACTTGATCTCTATAGCAAGGTAACCAATTCTATGGTTGTGATCTTTTAAATCTAATAGTTTTGTAATTGAACTATCTTAAATTAATTCATTTTGATGAATTTTGACTTAACCTTATTGCTTAATTTCATCAATTTCATAATTTTTTAAAATATCCATTTAGATTTATTTTTTTTAGTTTTAATATCAATCTATTTTAGGTCTTATATTATATTAAAATTAAGCTTAAAAATAAGAAGATATTTTCATAGATATTAAAAATATTTATATATACTAGTATATGTACTATATTTTAATAAGAAATTATTTAGCCAATTATAATGTCATTACTAACCTTCTTAGAACCTATAAATCTTTATCTTTTTATACAAATATTATATTATTGAAATATTTTCTATCAATAATCTTAATATATTTTTATCTTAAAAAAACCTGTATATCTTTTATTGCCAATAAAATGTAAGAAAATATTATAAATTCAATTAGGTTCTTATGGTAGTTAATTATAGATGTAAAACCTTATTTGGTAAAGATTTTTCATATTACTTTTTACTTTCATGGCTCTTAATTTTATTTTATTAAAATAAAAAAATGTCATTCTTGATATTTATATAGCTTCATTATCTTTCTTATTGGATCTTTGATATAACAACTTTATAAAATCTTGTCTTGAAGAAAACAAAATGGGTGGTAACTTTAGAATTAGTTTTTTTAAACCTAGGCATATTAAGCATCTTATCATCAAGCTCAAGCATTTAGTAGGATTTATTTTTTATTTTTTATTAAATAAGTTCATATATATATATATATATATATTATTGTGTGCACTTTTAGTACCTCTATTTTATAGCATAATTTTTTAATAGTGATCAAGATATCTTTATTATTTGGATATCATATAATATTCAATTTTTAAAATTAATATTGGATATTCAATAATAGATAATTAATTCTATATTTACAAAATTGAATGTTTGAAGTCAAAAAACTTTGGTTATAGTATATTGATGTATATTACACTTTTTTAATTGATATAAAGAAATTAGACAATATATCTTAAGATATAACTATTTTTATTTTTATGGTATTTTAAATTTTTTTGTATATAAGTAGTACTTCTAAATTATAAAAGGTATATAGATGTTTTAACAAAATATAATAATGATGGTTGTCTTTAAAATCTTTATTTAACCATCTTCTATAAAAGAATTAGGTTTTTAAATTATTAATATAATTTGACATTTTTTTTTTATATTATATATAAAAGACTTATAAATATTAATCAAGACTGTCAAATAATTTTGAACAAGATTAATATTATCATTCTAAATTTGTGTGAAAGTTAAATCTTGTAATTTAATAAATTGATGATTATTTAATTTTGATACATAATAATGCTTGATTTCTAAACAATCAATATATAATTTTACCAACTTGAAATATTTTAGATAATTAAGATGTACATATATTTTTTAAAAGCTTCAATTAAAATTTTTTCATAGATATTGGAATTGCTTATGATATTTACATTAAAATAGTTCTTCATAACTCATTATGTTATAATCCAACTATATAGTGAAAAATAAAACTATGGATGTTGTTATAGAAGAGCCTAATAGAGAGATGTAATAGAAAATAAGGATAAATGATAGAAAAATAGTAAAAGATTTAGTCTTAATACTATCTTTTTATAGAAAGGACTTCTATTTATTTTGTAGAGGCATAAATGAGCCAAATCAAAGTAAATGAGATAAGAAATAATATAGGCATGTGTAGGAGGAAATTAAAAATAGATTTTAGTAAAATTTACTTGAAGAAGCTAAGAGTTGATACCTAAAGAGGACCAGTTGTCAACCTAGGTTGAAATCAGACCCCAAGGCACAAAACTGCATACCTATGATGACTTTGGGGTTTTTTGGTAGGTTGGAGAGTGGAATTTAAGAGCAGACTTAAGGAGAGATTTTTGGATATTGGTTTTATGTCAATATAATCAATATTGAGTTTTTGAGGGATTTTCAAAGTTAGTAATGTTCTTGGTTGGTTCAGATTTTTGAAAAATAAAAACATGTTTACAAATTTGAAGGATTATTGAGTTTTATAGTGTATATATGAGTAAATTTTGGGCAATACATTAGTGTTATAGTTATTAATGTTTGTGCAAATTTTGAAGCCAATCAAATGGTTAGAGCAAAGTGAATGAAGGTTTTGGTGGATTGAGGTCTCAAAAATTGGAGTTTGAGGATTAGTGAGTATTTCTATGATTTCTAGGAATCTATTATTTGGATTGAAGTGATAATTTTTTTATATAGATACTAGACTCAATTATCAATATTTAAAGTAAAATTTGGGAGCAATTCAATAGTTCAAGAAGGAAATATTAGCACTAGAAGTTTAGTATTTAGATTGAAGTAGGAGGCTTCCTAACACTTTATTCGATTATCTTGCTTTTCTCTCAATTGGTAAGTGCAATTTATTTCATCTTTCTTGTGCTTATTTTTAACTAAGACATTAAAAAGTGTGCAAAGTTTGAGTTGACATCAACCGTTCAATTGTTAGTTTTCAAAATTCTATTTGCTATAGAATTTATTAAGAGTTGTTTAAAATCTAGGATTTGATGGGGCTGATTTTGGATTTGGTCTGGGATTTGCTTAGGATTTGCTTAGGATTTGGTTTAGAATTATTCTAGAATTTGTCTAGGATTTAGGATTTTATTAGGATTTTAATTAGGATTTTACTTAGGATTTGATTAAAATTCAATTAGAATTTGAATAATGTTTTGATCTAAGATTTGATGTAGGATTTGATTAAAATTCAATTACAATTTGAATTAGGATTTGATCAAGGATTTGACCTAGGATTTGATTAAGATTTAATTAAGATTTCAATTAAAATTATATAAGGGTTTTTATTTTTAATATTTTTTAAAAATTATTTGTCATTTCTTTAAAGGTTTATTTTATATATCTTTACAATTTCTTGTTATTTTTCTTTGGAATTAGTTAAAATATCTTTGTATTTCTTTTATAACTTTTAAAAAATTTATTTTTGATTAATCAAATTTTGATTAGGATTATTAAGGTCTACTTAAGGTTATTTAAGATTCTATTAGACTTAGCAGGATTGTTCTTGCATTTCTACTTACCTTCCATAGCTAGACGCCTAGTATATTTTCAAACAAGAATACATGTTATATGACATTGTAAGGTGTTTTTTTCTTGTATGCTGTTAGGGACATAGTCCTTAGAACCTTCTAGAGACAAGTTTCTAGAACCTTCTAGAAGCAAGTCTCTGGAACCTTCTAGAAGCTTCCTAGTTGGTAGAGTCGCTTGAGAAGCTTCCTAAATAGGAGTATATATTGGAATCGAGGCTGAAGAGTTCTTCAGTCTCGACGACACATCTCTTGGAACTCTAGTTCACCTCTCTAGTGTTGTTCTTGTATTCATCTGATTAATCTAGTTCTTGCTAGTTCTTCTTGAACTTCTTGTTAGATCTCGAGTCTGTATTTCTGTGTCCATGACAGTTTGTTAAGACTTCACTCACCTCAGATATCAAAGCTAGTTTCTTCCACGTTAGAGTGTGGATTACCCCTTTACTTGGAAGTGTACTAGCATTTTAGAGGTTGCGGATTACCCTCCTCTAAACTGATACTTCTTTTGTTACAATATTGGAGTCTTATTCTTCTTGGAGAGAGTGGATTACCTCTTTTCTTGAAGCTCTTAAGGCATTTTAGAGGTAACGGAGTACCCTCCTTTAAACCAATATTGTCTTCTTGTACAGTCATTTCTGTCCTTCTCTTAGAATGGCCGGAGGCCAAGACATTAATATGACGAAAAGTTCAGAGTCCAAGTTGGATGCTATCATGAATGCCCTCGCTACGTTATCGTAAAGAACTGCAGAGATTGAAGGAGTCGTGGCAAGGCTTCATAATGATATAGCATCTGGGATGGCACAATCTAGGTTGCACCAGCCTCAAACTTATGTACTTGGAGAAGCAACTTTGCCTCAGGTTTGACAAGCACCGCTGGTTCTACAACATAAGGAGCCCGAGTTAGCCTTCCGAACAAGTTCGATGG